CTGATGAGCTATTTAGAGGGGAAATTGTTCCAAGCAAACAGCATTATTATTAAAAGCTGGCAAGCTGCTTACATGTGTACCAAATTCAGTTTAACTGACAGATTCCGATTGACCAGGACATATTCACATTCTTTGTTTTCTTTATTTCTATGAACAATGTGTGTAATTATTGGAAACAGTATATTAATTTATATAAGTGTGTCTCTGTGTGTGTGCTTGTGGTTTTTGTGCATAGAGAGAATGTGTTCTTTCCATATGCTACTAAGGTCCTGGACAAGAATTGCAACTTGCAACTAAGATGGAGGGTGGGTTATAACTGGGGCAACAGAAAAAGGGGGCAACGATACCAAAAAGCAGCACCATTCAAGAAAAAAGACTGGTAATATGCTAGGGGAACGTTTTCATCCAGGGAGGTTGGCAGTATTCAGAGGGACATTATTAGCTGCAGAAGTAATCATTCTAATAATGTTCTTACACAGTGACTTCCTTAATTACTAACATGTATCAGGAATCCAAATAACTCCTGCTAGACCTACGCAGGAGGCATATGGAGGGACAACTCCATTAATGTTTAATGACATCTCATTTCTTTTTTCCAGGCTGAAATAGACCAGATGGCAGATTTAGCTGAGCTCTCTCAGATCATAAAGAGTCGAGTGCGAGGAGTCATAACAAAAGTGAAGGAATACCAGAGCACTTTTAAGGGCTACAGGTATTTGTGGACGGACGACCGCGGTGAGTTCATGAGGCAGTTCCTCTTGTATGGCCATGGTCTGAGCGCAGAGGAGCTGGAGCTCTATGCTGACTATGAGCTCTCCAAGTGCCCGCCACAACTGGAGCAATTCAAAGAGCAGGTAACAAGCCAGGCTGTCCTTCTCACACCCCTTGCACCTGCAACTGCAGTATGTGTGGGGCTAGAGCATAGTCACCCTTATACATTAACCCCACACTTACTGAAGTTTCTGCCACTGGGTTTCACATCTCAGTAAAACAACACCCACTGACAGATGCACTGTGGGCAGAGCTTTATTAAAAGAAGGAATGCATTCAGCATCCAGCACCATACTTTGAATCTATTAGCTACAAGCAACCAAACAATCTATATGGGCCAAGAGGTTTCCACTCATTCGTAGTCTTTCTTTTACGTTCTTATTATCACTTAGGTTTGGGTACATACTGTTTGTGTTCCTGTTGCGGTCTTAATGTTGTTTTTAATACGCCTTCTGTATCAATCACTTTGTCAGATCAACCTGTTTGAATCTCTGTACCTGAAAGTCAAAAAGTTGGAAGACAAAAAAGTTTTCAGTAGCTGGTTGCAGGTGGACATCAAGCCTTTTAAAGTTTCCCTGATGAATGTAATAAAGAAATGGAGCTGGATGTTCAAGGAGCATCTTCTCAATCATGTTAATAACAGGTAGGGGAAATACTGTATTTCACGAAGCCATTGGCTGCTGCCAGCACCACTCCCATTTTCATTATTCTTTCAGATTTGTCTAACATGTATTTCTAAATCTTCTAAGATATGTGATCTGCTTTCCACTGAACTTTCCAATATGATAATTTTAGACTCCTTAGACATTTTACCTTAAACACAAACCTTCTCAGAAAATGATCAATTGCTATATGGTTGCTTGAAGGATCTGATTTTCCATTTCTAATTGAAATTGCCAGAGGGGGCTATTGAAAAACATACAATTTTGTCACAGAAGGACACCTTAAATCCCTTTATGTAATGACAAGAAGGAAATTCAGTGAAGACTTACTATTTGCTGTCAATTTTGTGAAGCTGACAATCCTCCCTTGTTTGAAAAGATCTTTAAATCTGTATTTATTTGTTGTTTTTGTTCTATGTAGTGTCCAAGAGTTGGATATGTTTGTCCAAGAGACTGAGAAGGGTCTGGCCAAGAGGGTTACTGAAGGAGACTATGCAGGGCTTGTAGACATAATGGGTCACCTGATGGCAATCAGGGACAGGCAAATATCCACCGACAAACATTTTAAACCTTTAAAGGCAACAGCTGACCTTCTTAGATCCTATGGACAGCAGCTGCCTGATCATGTGTACACAGAGCTTGAGGTAAGGCTCAGCATTGCAGGACTCCTTTCTCTTTATGGTGATACGGCTTTAGAGGTATACAGAAAAAAGATCTGTACATTCACAACAAAATATAAAAACTGCATTCAATTTTTCAGAGAAAAATACTGATGATTTAGAAAAAACGAATCCATTTTTATGAATCACATAATTTTCCATTTTCATTCATTGATGCACTGAGATTACTTTCTGAAATGTCATTGTTTTATGAAGTCTGAGGCTGTGTACAGTGAGCATCTGGATAGAATCTGTCCTGTTACATTATCAAGTGTATTCTGCTTGGAAGAAGTCTACCTTTCATGTGAGTCCCACATGAGCTGCAAACATATGAGGTTAGCCTCCTTGACATTACAGAATCATAATGGTCTGCTTAAGGTTGAAAAACTTTAGTTACTGGTAACACCAATCTGTGACAATTGTGACACCGAAACATCCTATGCTGCTTTGACATTACAAAACTGGTTAACCCAGACATCAGAAAGAAGACCCAAGACAGCCCTCAAAAAACTGCAGTAGCAAACTAAACTTATTAGACATGCTTTCAGTCAAGGAATGCTGGAAATACAGTAACTGTTCTTGCGTGTTGGACAATACAGAAGGACAGGCAACCAAAGACAGGAAACAGATAAAGAAATGCATGACAGATTCCAATGGTATTCCCCAGAAGAGGGAGTATTCAGAACAAGACAAGGAAGTGAGAAAAAGAGCCAAAAGAGGCACTTGTCTGGCCTCTGAAACTGAGCAGATGTTTGACATGACATGAAAAACCTGTATAAAATAACCAAATTCCTCTGGGGCAACTGTAGAGCAAACCATATGACGGGATGAGACACAGAGGATTTCAGGAAGAAAAGAACCAGCAAAAACATCTCGTTTTCAAGAAGAGGAAAATGATCTTGAGATCAACCTGCCACTGCAAGACTGAAGTTGCAGATTCTACCGTGTCACTCAACAAAGCCAAAGCACCTCGTGACATTGGGATCGTCTGAGAGCTGCTGAAAGCTGAATGAAAACAAGCACAAACGTTTCTCGCACAGATACTGTAGCAATATTGCTGCATCTCAAGGTGTTCAGCAGAATCATCCTCAGAAGAACTGAAGCTATACTGTAGATGGTAACCTTACTCACACCATTTACATTTGCAACATTCTTTACTTCAACTTCTTACACTTTAAATAGAATTTTGTTTGACCCACAAGAATGTTGTTGGGCTTCACAGTAAGTCCCACCGAAAAATAGTTTGTATACCCAAGAAGAGGGTAACTACTGCTTGAAATTGAATGCAATTGAATACATCCTCAAACCAGGCTGTATCCTCTCACAATTTCCTTTTAGCGTTGCCATGGATATACTCATTAAAGAAAACATTTAAGGGGAATCGGATGGACCCCTATTGCCAGTATGGAAGATCTGGTCTATGTTGATGTCATGAACTGGCTCTCAACTCTCAAGAACCTTATGTGCTATTCGGGGCACGAAAAAGATTAAATGAATGAAATGAGTGAGATAATGAAGCCGTTTATCAATAAGCAAAGCAGGCCGTAACAGGTCTGCATGCATGAAATGCAAACCCGAGTTCAACATTCCCTCAGAAACGAACTCCCCCCATTAACAATTTATTTAGTCAGTGAATTAAAATGTGCTTTATTTTTTCTCTTTGCTCTGTGAAGGAGCTCCCAGAAAAATGGAAGAATCTTAAAAAGGTTGCCTTTACAGTAAAGCATGAAGTTGCACCTCTGCAGTCCAATGAAGTGTCTGTTATCAGAAGGAAATGTGTACATTTTGAGGTAAGATGAGCTTTGTGCTTTGAACCAAGCCATTTCTCTCTTTTTGTCCTGGTAACAAGCTGGAGGTAGGCTTCAGCGAAGCGAGAAATTGTAAACTCTAAAAAAAGGGCTGTCTAAAGATAACAATTCAGTGTTTGTTGGTAATGCATTTTGGATAGATCTGATAAAGCAAAGCCTACTTCAAAATGGGAGTGAAGTTTCCTCCCCTTGTGTGGGGAGTTATGTTTAATCCTGTAGCTTGATATTCACTTGCAAATACTTCTGTCACCATAAATATGTATTTGCTTTCTTCATATACCATTCATTTCAGCTTTATTAAAGGGGATTTATTTCTTGTCCACCATTTTTGTCCTCTGGTTCCATGGAGCTTATAATGTCTGTGAGCAAACTGAATCCCTCCTTTCATTATTTATAAAGCAATATGACACCCGCAGTTGGCTGGTAGGCAGCAAATTGCTTTTGTTTATTATATTTTATTACATGGAAAGATTCAAAATGAAACGGCGAGGAAATGTATTTATAATTTCATGCACTATAACAATGCAATATACACACAGGCCATTACTCTCTGAAGTATATGAAATATTTCAAACCAAAATTGATTTCTAATGAAATTAACCATATACCTTCCCCATGCTTAAAAGCTTAAAATGTTTTGGCTCAGATACAAAGGACAGTTAAATGAGTAATTATTGGTTGACCTCTTTTCTGAAAACATGGAATATTATAAAGGTTTTTGAAGGAACCTTCTTGAGAGACGTCTCTTTATGAATGCATCTGAGACAGGTTGTTGGTAAGAAGGTTTTTGATTTGTTCAAGAAGAAAAGAATTCCGTTCAACCGCCTGCTTGCCGTCACTAAACTTATTAATGTTACAGATGGTTCTCTCCAATAAAATAAAGCTTATTGTCAACAACTTTTGGAAGATCCTATTTCCAACAATGAGGTCTGTCTTTTAATCCCTGTAAAGCCGTCTGAAGCTCATTATGCCCTGTGTGGACGTGCAGTGGTGTTATTTCGATTAAAACAGCATAGAGTCTGTCAGTTTTTCACAAGGGCTGAATCAAGCTGTCAATTATAGCATGTGTTTATGTAAATTATATGTTTGTTAACGTTCTGGTAAAAATGTTCTTTCAGATCAAACAGCATGAGTTCAGGGAACAGTTTCGGAATGAAATCATCTTCAGGATTGATGTAGATGATCCTTATAAGCTTATAGACAAGGTAAGCATCTAGCTCCAGATTAATCTCATCCATTGTTGCTTTGCACAGTATGCACAGCCTGAGATGTGTCAATTGGGCTCTTTTCTGAACTGACTTGTACTTTTCTGTATTCTATAAAATGACATTGTGAAACTTGTCTCTGTATATTTATTTGTTATGTCTGTCAGGGGAATTGAAATACAGGCACAATCAGATCAGTTAGTGACTATAACTAACTGAACAAGATGTGACAAATGGCCTCTTCTTTGTCTTTAACCTGTCTTGTGTTCAGTTCTTTGGTCAATTCAAATGGAGTTCTATCATTGAAAAACTTCTTACCTCACAGATCTGATGTGAAAAGATTTGGAATGTCTGCCTTAAGAAAGGCGAATGTGATCTTTATTAATGAAAATACACCATTGTGGTTCGGCGAGGTTTAATGGACAGTAAAACTTATAATATTTATTTTCTTACAGTTGAGTTTCTGTTGACAAATAGTTTGCCTAGTTGTAGTAAACTATAGACTTGAACTAAGGTTAGAGTTCGTGATAAACCTGGACTTCATTTCTGGTTTGGGTTACATCTTAAATTTAACAAGGGGTGTGAGTTTAATTTTCGATTTCTTTAACATTAAATATATAGAGAGAGAATAAACGTTATTTTTAATAGAAACATGCCGGATACAGGCTTTCCTCCCAACAAGTGCATTGGGGAAAGATCTTTATGTAGACATGAGATTTTATTTTTTCCAAGTTGATTTTTCAGTGATACCTCTGTGAATCTGAATTCTGTTATAGCTGTTGCCCAAGGCACATAACTGGCTATGTTGATTTTGATGTAGTGCATTTTTAATGTCCTTGTTTTTGTTCCAACTGAGTTGTCAGTTATCCGAGAGAGCTATCTCCACCAGTTTAAGAGAGAACAGAAGTCAAAATAAGCAAGTCATTAATTCAATTTAAGGTTCAGTTAAGCAATTGAAGAGCTCAGCTGGAACAAAAATTAGCAAACACAGTCATCCATCAGGTTAGGAATGCCTACAGTTGGTGAATAAATAAATTCCCTTATTTGTTGTGGCTGAAGATATTGTGTTATATACTGTATAAGCTGACAAAAATCTCAGACTTGAGAGCATTGTGTTACCTGTCCATTTTCAGAGTAATAGGAGTGTGTCTGAACTGGAAAGGGAAATGAGAAAGTTGCAGGAGACAGCTGACCTTTTTGAGGTCAATGTTCCTGATTACAAACAGCTGAAGCAGTGCCGATCGGATATCATCCTGGTGAAGTCTGTGTGGGACATGGTGATCTTTGTGAAGGTAAGAAGAGGCATTACATGTACTGTATAACACAAGGGGCTCCTGAGAGGCAGTGAAGGAGCTGGGAATGCAGGATGAGCTTTATGGCCCAGACATCACTAGTTCAAGCCTGATTCATATCACTAGCCGACTGTGACTGTGACGGGTATCTCCTTGCTGCAGCACACGATTGGCTCAGCACTGCCAGAGTAGGGTGGGACTAGTCTGCAAGGGTCTTTACGGCAAAGGGTAACTCCTGAAACCTACTGGATAACAGTAAGATCAATGAGAGATGCACTGTTCCTCCAGGCGTTGCCTGACAGGGTATTGTGGTGTTTCCAGTGTATCAAATGGCAAGTTGCTCTGCAGGTGGGCGTTTGGGAGGAGTGTGTCTGTGTTTCTCATTCTCTCACAGTAGGATCCAGTCTTTAAACAATTCCATAAGTTTTTCCCATTGAAAATGTGTGTACATACATAATGTGGTAACATATGTTCTTATGTTATGTTATGTTGCTTGTTGGGTGGTTGTTATCCACATAAAAGTTTTTATTGGATTTGTTTTATTTTCTAACACTGTTATTCCTATTATATAATTATTTTCAAAGACAAGTATTGAAGACTGGACAAAAACCCCCTGGAAGGAGATTAACGTTGAGCAAATGGATATGGACTTGAGACGATTTGCCAAGGTGTTTCTTTTTAAACTTGCTATGAATAAAACGCCCAAGCATTTTAACTGACATTTGATATTGAAAAAAAAATGACATTTTGTTATATTATACCTGTGTCGTTGTTGAATAATAACTGCATTTTTAATTAATGTTGGAAGAATTTGTGCAATTCAAATCCCTTCATTTAATAAGTTGACATTGCTTTTTCTTCTTAGACACTAGGTAAATAGACAGAAAAGCCATTTTATGATTCTGGTGTGAAGGATACAATATATTCAAATACATTTTCCGTTTAGAACGATGTATTTTAGAAGTGTTCCTAATATATTTCAATGTAGACTGATTTCTAATTGTAGGAGATGAAAACTCTTGACAAAGAGGTCCGTGCTTGGTCGGTTTATACTGGACTGGAATCAACAGTGAAGAATCTGCTCACTTCGCTTCGGGCTGTCAATGAACTGCAGAACCCCACTGTCAGGGAAAGACATTGGCAACAGCTAATGAATGCCACTGGGGTAAGATTCTGGCCTTTTCATGGCCTTTATGTGCTCCAGTTTTGGGATATTTGCATACCTTACAGGATCCATGGAGTTACTTTCAAATTGTTATCCTGAAGGTTTGTTTCGTAATGGACGACACAACAATTCTGGGAGATCTGTTAGAACTACAGCTGCACAGGGTGGAAGACGAAGTGAAGAATATTGTGGATAAATCAGTAAAAGAAATGGCAATTGAGAAGGTAATGGCTTTGTTAAATGTTATCTGTTACTCTATTTTATTGGATAGCATGCGTTTCTGTGCATTTTCTTTTCTGTTCTTTTTTTTTCTAGGTGAAAATACTGTAAATGTTGGTTTTCTTTTTCGCGGTGCTCATACAAACTAGCAAGCACGTTTGTTCTATGTGGCTGGGTCAGGGCAACAAAATGAGTTTTGCCTCAGTTTTTTTGTCTGATTTTTCAGTGATGTGTACTGTATGACATTTCAGAATGTCACCATTACGAAATGTTCATAACATTTCACTAGTAAAAGGGAAAAGTCACTTATAGGCCAGTCCAAATGAACTAAGCAAAAAGATGAATTGGACACATCTATGTTGTGAGACTTGCACAAAAATGCAGTGTATATATCCTTAATTCTTTTGCCTGTGTGTCCGCTATATCACATAAGAACTGTACTTTCTGATGGTGGGGTTGTTGCGCCCTATCTATTAAGAGAGTGGTGGGCAGCCTGTATTCCAGCCTTATGTGCTCCTCAAAGACACAAACAGCGCCCTCCGGAGGTTCCAAAAAATACAACAACTATTTTGCTCAGAAGGTTCTTGATGATCAAACATATTCAAATCAGGTTCATATTACTCAGCAGTAATGTGTGATATTCTGTCTTGGGCTTTGAAATGTCAAACTGTCAAGCTACTGCATTATGTATGATAAAAAGAAAATTAAACATTAAATTCTCAAATATAATGGAGCTAGAAATTTTAGTTGATTACTTCTATTATGTTATTTTATTGTTAAAGGAAGAACTGTACTTATGGCATAACTTATGCTGCAGGTGCTTACAGAGATAAACCAAACCTGGAGTATGATGAACTTTTCTTATGAAAAGCACCACAACACAGGCATACCTTTGTTAAAATCTGATGAAAACTTGATAGAAACCCTGGAAGACAATCAGGTATTGATTTGTTGATCGATCTGTCTGTTTCTTTCTGTATGGCTGTCTTTTCAATGAAGAAATATACTGGTCATTGAAAAGGGCATAAGTAAGTTTGTGTTTTTTGTTGATTGTCTGCTTGATGGTATTCTTTTTCGTTGTGAACTCAGTCAAAATGATTTGTGCAGCAGATTATAAGTGAACGCTGTGGGTCTGAGGCTCTACATAAACATAAGGTAAACGAAAAAGATATGTATTTGAAGTTCCCAGGTTTCTGAATGCTAGAGAAGTGCTAGAAATATCACACTTTTAACTTATACAGTACATTTGTTTAAGAGACCTGGCAATAATGCCAACCTCAAAAGCTGTTTTGTTCGACACCTGTGGATACACTCAAAATCCACAGGATAACACCTTTAGCCTGTTAAATCTGAAATTGATATAACTCAGATGGGGTGAAAGACTACTATGTGGTTCATGGAAATTGGCAAAACACAGATCTGGAGTTTTCCAATGATGTCTCCATTGTTGACATGTGGTATGCCTAACTGATCACAGTAAAATGGCACCACAAAGTTTCCTGAATGGTTGACACAGTATTGTTAAAAATCAAAAGAATACCCTCCCTTTCTCACAACCCCGACTTTGCACCAGGAGGTGTGGTAGGTGTGAATTTGAAGTTTGTACTGATTGATAGCTCATGTGTGGTGTTCATGATGTTTCTTTGTTAAAAAGCAGGTAGATTTCAAGGCACCTGAAAACTATTTCTGGCCAGAACTACAAGTAGCCCCCCCCCTCTTATGACAGAACTTGTATGCCTCAAAATCGCTACAATTCTGTTACTGTCACTCTATAAGTAGATTCTAATTGGGTATTATCTTGGGAAAACATAGAATCTCCGCTTTACTCCAGTATAAAACATGAAGAACCTGCAGCATCCAGAATGCAATAGGAACGTGCTCTAAGAAGCACCAGATTGGTAGGTTTCCCCTACCAGTGTCAAAAATGGCCAAATTAGATGGATACTTCCCAAACTATCTAGGAGTTGCAAATAAAATAATTGAAGTAGTGAACAATGAACATCTATTGGTGTTGTTTTAAAAGCTAATTTTAGTGAAGCGTTTAATGATTTATTACACAGGATACACAAACTGTTAGCTATTTTATAGAATTTGATGGTGGCTAATTTTGAGCTAATGACCTTACACATTTGGAAATGCTGTCTGGGACAAGCTTTTTCTTTTGCTCTGGATTTACCCTTGGATTTTCCAGCCATTGCTTGCACAGGAGTAAAATTTGAAGATCTTTTCCAAACAACCTTTTTCTTAAAATCATATTGATCTCTAGGTTTCCCCCCTTTAACTGTAAAGTTGTGACTTATAGAAACCCATCTTATTAATTGTTGCATGGAATTTACTTTAATTAAATGATTTCAGCCATTTTTCAGCACTCCCCTGGTCTTTTGATATATATATATCTTATTTTAGATCTCTTGTTTTAGACTTTGTGACTTTTTAAGCACATGCATTTTTTTTCTTTGAAATGAAATATATTCCGCAACAATTAGCGTATGTTGTTCTCTAAATAGGTTCAGCTGCAGAATATCCTAATGAGTAAGTACGTGGAGTACTTCCTGGTCCAGGTGACCACCTGGCAGAAGAAGCTGATGGTGGCCGATCAGGTCATTTCTATCTGGATGGCAGTGCAACGGACTTGGGCCCACCTGCAGAGCATCTTTACCAACTCCGAGGACATACGCAATCAGCTGGCCCACGATGCCAAGAGGTTTGAGGGTATTGACCTCGATTTCCAGGTGCTCCCAAATTCCGTTCATCGGTTTGTTCATATGCGAAGTCTGCTTGAACATTGTGCAGACACGTTTACTTATCGCACTTATTTGTTTCCCAATCAGAACCTCATGGCCGCAGTCGTTCAAACCAAAAACGTCATTGATGTTACAAATCAGACGGGATTTTTGGAAAACTTAGAAGCACTTCAACAAAGGTACGGCTGTATGCAGCTACATTGCAGGCGCACTTGACGTTGAATCTTTAAGGTGAGGCTTGAATAATGAATGTATGAAGGTCTCATGCCAAGTCATCTGGATTGACAAAATATGAATTCTCAAAAGGTAAGCCATTCATGCTAAAAAAAGTTAGAAACAGCTGACCAAGAGTTACTCTTTGTTGCCTGTTGTTGTGTCATCCACAATTTGATGTGATGAGGTCTTGAGCCACTTTATTTTAAAAGCTTTATCTACGTGTAAAATGTGAAACATCAAAATGACTTCCTCTCACAGTAGCTGAAGACTTCACCCCCTGAGTTTTTGACAATTTAATAGTGTGCTGAATTATGTAAGATGATCAGCATGCCAAAGAAACTTATCTATAACAATTCAGTAACCAAGATGTTAGATTGTATGTGAAGACTAATCTAAGTAACTGTATTTGTAGCACAATATGACCATCACTGCTTTGCTGTGAGCTCCTTGGACTGTTCAATAGTGATGCTCTGTATGAGAAATGTAGATAAAAACTTTGGGCGTAAAGACCTACAGTATCTGAGCTGTACAACTACTGACGATACTGTTCAGTAGCTCTATGGAGTAGGTTTTCGTCTCTCTGGCACACATAAAGAGTCCATTTGATTGTGATACAAATTTTGAAAGTTCAAAAATAGCTAGACAAGACAGCTTGACTCTTTATATGCTGGAAGCTGCGCTGGTTAAAACTAGCTGTATGTAAAGGTGAAAGACATAACAGCAATGGTCAGTGGTGTATCAACGTGATCTCATTCATTTCTTTATATTTAAACATTAACACTAATTTCCACAAATCTGTCCATCTGTGCTTAGGCATTCCTTAGGAGTAGCCTGCAAAAACACTATTCACGTCCACATAATCAGACAACAGGCGACCTGCTTTTTGAACATGAAGGAATTAGGTTTAACTGTATTCTACAGCTACTGTATGGCACACTGATGAATCCTAAAAAGGGTGAAACAGCTGTCAGTGACTGCTAACATTGAATACTGTATACGCAAAAGGTGAAATTAAAAGAATCAGTAGCCAATTCCATCCTTCTCAGAGGTCATTAAGATGCATTCCCATAATTAATTTATAGCAACTATGTCCTCTTTAAATGCACCATGAGCTTGAAAGATGTTCTTCATTAGACAGGCACATAGTTTTTTTAAGCCTGTGAAACCTCACCAGATTTTCTTGAGATAACTTAATTTCTGTAATTAAGAGAAACTTTGTTTCTTTTAATAAACAACACATGTATCTTATAAATAATATATTTCAAGATACACTCATTTAGCAATTTAATATGCCAGAAATCAGAACAGAATTCTCAGAACAGAAGAAATGCTGCTAAATGGTGTTTAGCCAACAGTTCCCCAAATGTCCTATGTATCTGCTTCTTCCTTAATAGCCTGTTTGGGGTCCCTTCTTTAAGACACACCTCATCTTCAGGTTCATCTTATTATAAGAGCTGTGGTGATTTTTGTGGACTACTTAACATTGAGGCTTGCTGTACAATACTGCTGCCATAGTACGTGTCTTAATGAGGTACTTTTGCCGTAGAGTGAATTCCACCTTGCTTGTAATTAAAACAGATGCAATGGGACATTGTTATCATGCATCATACATCCACTCCTAAGAAACCATAAAGTACTTGCAGCTCAATTTCATGGATTTAAGTGAAATCCGGTCCAGATTTCTTTGACCTGAGAAATTTCTGAAACTGTTCGATGGGGTGGGTGCTGGGTCTGGGTCCCCAGATCCTGTACAGAAATACCATTATTCAGCGGTAGCCAGCTTACCCACTTCTCCCACTGCTGGTAACCAAGAGGAAGGGATGCCTCGGTAAGGATTAAGGATGTGTTTAGGTTGATATGAAGTTTGGTTCGGGTAAGGCCATCTTAATTATGGTAATTAATCCCTGGTAATTATGTTTTGCAGGCTATCAGTGTGTGAAAAGGCCCTGGCGGAGTATCTGGAGACCAAAAGGCTCACTTTCCCCCGGTTTTACTTTGTATCGGCATCGGACCTACTGGAAATCGTTTCCAAGGGAACACAGCCAACACAGGCAGGATTAAAAACACTCGCCTTGTTTCATGTGTTTGTTAGGAATGAATTCCCGGGAGCTGACCTGTCTTGTTGTTGTTAATCAGGTGACAAGACATTTGTTGAAACTTTTCGACAACCTTGCCGATCTGAAGTTTAAAGAGAGCGAGGACGAAGGAGGAAGAACGGTGGCGGTTGGGATGTTCAGCAGAGAAGGGGAGTATGTGCCTTTCTCGGAGCCCTGTGTGTGTGAAGGCCAGGTAAGCCTTTTAAACCTGCAAAAAAAGGTTAGAAGGTTTTGATTCTGTCCGTCCTGCGAGAATGAGATAGACATCAATCATATCTGTGTAATGTGTGCTGCTGGACCCAGGAATCAGAATGTCTCTGTATGTCCAAACGCTCAATCAACATAACAAACAAACCCACTATGCCAAAAGATTAAAAGCTGAACACTCTTGGGAGTCCTGGCAGTAATGCCATCATGACAGTCCGGTCTCATCTTATATTGAGAGACCCGTGACTAATGCCCATAGACTAATATATCCCTCACAACAAATTGGCATTTTTGTCATGACCGATGAAACAATAACATAAGAGTTTGACTTCTTCTGTTTTAGAGATTGCGCAATTACTGTTAACTGCCCAATTTTGTACTATGTACCCTCATACTTTGATGGCTGTATATGGGGTTATTGGGTCAGGTTTGAAAACCAGGATGAAATAGAGTCTGGGTTCTTTCTTGGCTCATATGATATCATGCACAATGAAACAAAGCCCATCCCAGACATCTGTGTGTTGGAAAAAAAAGGAATAATTGTTACACCCTGGCTGGGGCTCCCTCATCATCCAATTGAGCTCCTTATTTAAGATCCTGCCCAGTGCTCTGACATTGAGATACACTCTGTTTCTCTTCTCTGAAATGAAGTGCTACTTCTTCCTTCGCTGCAGGGCACTGACTGCACAGGGATTTTTTCTTTTCTTCAATGCCACCTTCCCCCTTGAGCCGCACTATCACTGAGTACTCTTTCTGAGCACCTCAGCTAGACAGCCTTGCAAGTTAAGGCAAACCTTCACCTCACCCGAATTCTTCTGAGTCTCTCTGAGCCCCTGCGCTTGGAGCTCTAGCTTACCATTCATCACAGTGCCTGTATGGTAGGAACCGGATCCGAACAGCAATATAATCTCTTAAGAGTTCGCCAAGCAGGCATATATCTCTCTCCTCAGGCAGAGCGCTGGTTGAGTCACTTAGAGGAGACTATGCGCTGCACAGTCCAGCAGGAGATCATGGAGGCTGTGGCTGCCTATGAAGACAAGCCTCGGGATCAGTGGCTCTTTGACTACCCTGCCCAGGTTGCCCTTACTGGCAGCCAGATCTGGTGGGCAACCGATGTGGGAATAGCCTTTGATCGTGTCGAAGAAGGGTTTGAGACGGCCTTGAAAGACTACAATCGGAAACAGGTGCGTTTCTTTTTCTAGGAAGTGGGGTGGGGTGGCGAGGGCTTTGGACTCCGGACTCCAAAGCTGTTGGTTTAAATCTCAGGCAGGACACTGCTGTAGTACCCCTGAGTGAGGTGAACTGCACAGCTGTGTGAACGGGTACAAATTCTGCTCACTATGGATAAAAAAAAATCAATTGGTTATAATAAATGTTTAACCAGGATCTCCAAATTTCACTTTGTTAATGAACGTCCACATCTGAGACAGCTGAGAAATGCCCTGAAAAACATTATTTGCTATAGATTTATCAGGGAAAATCAAAACGTTTCAGATTCTCCTTCATAAACCTGAAGAATTCAAAACAACACAGCTGTCAGGTTTAATATATCCTTATTTGAGTCCAATAAGGCTCTCTGTTTCACAATGGATTTATTGCAGTTCAGTGGAAGGGGTTATTGAAACTGTGTTTACTTTTTTAATTGCCTTACATCTGTATTGAAGTCTAATTATTTTTGCAGATTGCTCAGTTGAATGCTCTTATCAACATGTTGCTCGGAGACCTCACCCCTGGCGATCGTCAGAAGATCATGACAATATGCACAATTGATGTACATGCTAGAGACGTTGTAGCCAAGCTCATAGCACAGAAGGTAATTCTATTGTAGCAGTTTCCTTAATGCATTTAAAGCATAAAAGCATTAAACAAAGCATAATTTCCTTCTTAAGACATTTTCTGCTGCTCATATAAGAGGATGACAGCATGTTTTGATTTGTATTCATTTTCACCTTAAATTGCACATGAAGTAGTACCATTTCTGTTTAAGCTGCACTTACCAACTGCCTTCCACACAACAGTTCTCCGGTTCAGGATTTTATTGAAGAAAAGTGTGCCGTATTATATCGTAAGGATTATGCTTGTTAAAGGGCAATAATGTGATGTGTTATGACCTTCTTTAATGAGAAAGCCGTGCATCTGATTGAAAGAAGAATATATACAGTACATAAAAAGTGTTCTTTATTATATAGTAGACACATTTTAAGAAGATTTTCCAGTGATGATCACAATGCTCTCAAGTTGGCCATCAGTGCCACAAAATCAATACAATCACACATAGAGCAGCTTAAAGAATGAAATATGCTGTAGACCTCATGTGACTGGTTTGTCCAGTTTGTTGAATTTGAGCTCCAGTTTCTTTTTCCAGCAGTCCTATTGTGTTTGTTTTGGATATTCCTCTCATTTCATTCCTGTCTGTGATCCATTTGAAATGGGATGAATGACACCACATGCAGTTTGTAAAAATTGAGATGACAGTGATTAATTCACAAATTGCTGCACAAATGGAGTTCCAGATTTCAAAGCCCAAATGTCGATTATTCAGTAATTTATCTTAAAATGGAACTGCTCTTGGATAAACAATGAGAAAAAAACAAAAGACACTGTATACTCATGTATTATAGTTGGAGTGCCTTGAACGTTTGGTTAGGCCTCTTAGCTGCAGGAAAAGCCCTGTTGAGACAAAGCCTGTATAGTGGGTTTGCCAGAGAGATGTGATTGAGGCAATTCAGCCAGGTTCTTGATAAATACAATCCCTCTCCAAATCTGGCACTGTGGGACCAGGCGATGGAGAGGACAGTTAGAATTTATGGAGGTTGCTTTCATGGCTGCTAACTGTTTATTTATCAGCACTTACTTGATAATGTAATAGGATTCCTTTAAGATTGCTTGATTTCTTAGAGATTTCTAAAGCCGTTTGGAAAAGGAAGAGACTGCATGTTAAACACTCCACTCTGCAATGTGAACAATTTGTGTGGGTTTAGTTCTGCTGAATTTGACCTTTTCTATTTCTCCTCCTTTGTTGTGCCATCACTATTTGTTCAATTTAACTATTACAAATCTTAATCTTGTACTTGAAGAATACTTAATTTGTCCATATAGACTTCAAAGTTTAATTTGTACTGATATGCCCCTAGTGTAGTGTCGTGCGTAAGCCTTTGGGCTCTTAACTGATTATGGGTTCAAGTCCCTGCAGGAGACACTGCTGTTACTCTTAAGCAAGGTACCATACCCCAGCAGCACCAGTTCTCCCAGCTGTGTGAGTGGGGACTCGAACTAGCACAGAATAATTTCAGTTATTAACCAGTGTCCTATCCAGGGAGGAATCACATGTAATCCAGTCCTTTTTAATGCTCAAGAAACTGGGATGAGCTCTGGCCCTATAAGCTTCTATGGCTCAGGCATGGACTTTAGCTGCATCAGATTCATGCGCTTTCTTCTATTTCTCCTATAACACCTCACAGGTAATTTCCCTTTCTCTCTACTTTGAAGAAATAAAAGGATTCACATTCTAGCTGATATTTTAGTGACAATGGTACTGGACTTGAAATCTCAGCATCAGCTTCCTGGCTCTTTTTTGTTTTTTTTTTATGTCTGAATTTTGCCAAGCTTTCCTAGAGTGTCCCATGAGGCAAGGGGTGGGGAGGACAAAAAAATATGGTTTACAGAACTTGATTCAATTTGTACGAACTTGTTCCTACTCCTGTGTCTATGCTAGGCACACAGGACTGTAGAGTGTCTATAGGTGTCTACCTTTACGGACATATTTTGATTGCGTCTCAAGGGTCTTATGTTTTGGGAACAAGATTCTTTGTCTACAATTTCAGATAAAGATATTTCCTGCTTTCGGTTAGTGTTTTTGTTGAAAGATTACATCAAACTTGGCCTTGTGCAGCTGTTGACATGGATCTGGTTTGTTGGCCCGACAACAGTTTAAAGAACTTGAGACTGCAATGGGAGCCTCCACATTTCCTCCCTTGACATTATTGGACCTTTCATTTTCATTTCTTTTGACCTTCATCACATAAAAATCTGGTTTGATAATTCAACAAAAAATACCTTTCATTTTTAATTTTCTAGAATAAAACACTAGTCTCTCACAACATATATTTTATTTGTAGTTTTAACAGCAAAAATATTCTAGTTAATATGACTTACTGTTGAGGATAAAAGCTGAGACAATAATACAGTGTTTTCTGTCAAGAAACCTCGTCATATAAAGGTTTTAATGGCTGAATAGTTAGAATAAAAATACACTCCGGGGTCTGTTTCTGTGATTGACTGCTATCTGTGTGAATCTCGTGCGCCAAGAAGTGAGTTTGGAGTGAGAGAGGGAAGAGCCCAGCAGGGAGTCTGTTCAGACTGGGGGAGTGAGAGAGATGTACTTGGAGTGAAACTAAGACTGAGGGAATCCCAGGAGCCATATCAGTCAGCCCTGGAAGACTGCACATGATCCCACACACTTGGCACTATATTCATCATACTTGCATTAAATGCTTATTTTGTAATTCAGATCTGCTAAGGCCTTTCTGTTCAGAAATGAGGATTGATTGTTAGAGTTGGCACAGAGAGAGTATTATTTTCTTCAGTGATGTGACCCAGCAGGCTCCTGAGATTTTGACGATGTCTTTTTATTAGGTGACTAATGGACAGGCGTTCGCCTGGCTGTCCCAACTACGACACCGCTGGGATGAGGACCCAAGGCATTGTTACGTAAATATTTGTGATGCTCAATTTCAATACTCTTATGAGTACCTGGGAAACACCCTGAGGCTTGTCATTACTCCTCTAACAGACAGGTAAGACTGCAATACTTAGACTCGTCAAAAATAATGTTAACGATCCAGCACTGTGTAGTCTGGATTAAAAACATCCTGTAATGCATATTTTTTAACAGGATTACTTTTAGATACAGTACACAAGGGACAATGCATGTGATCTCTGAAATACAGATATTTATTTCAAGATATTTTAGAACCAGGAGTATGGAATTTAAAAAATTAAAAACAAAAAATAATCTGTCCATCCATTTCTGAACTGCTTCATCTAATTCATCCCATCCCGGCAAGCAATGGGCATAAGGCAGGATACACGATACAACATAGATACAGTATGTCCATATTCACACCAGGGCCAATTTTCTAGAAACCAGTTAACCCGCCAGTATGTTTTATGGGCTGGGACCCAGCAAAAACCCATGTTAACAGGGTGAGAACATACAAACTCCAAACAGCTAGCAGCCCGAGTCTGGAATTGAACCCAAGGACACAAGCTATGCAAGGCTGCGACCTTAAATTATGAATTTTATTAACTAGTAATTTATTTTAAACAGGATCACCACGATTAACAGTTTTGAATCCACCTGAAAGTAAAATTTCAAAGGTAATAATAGAGTTAAGATTGAACCAAATTAACTGGAAATTTACATTACATTCATAGGTTTTTGTTGAAAGCAGTGCATTTTGTACTCAAGCAGGGGCAAGACATTTTAAGTCTTATTCAATACATAAAATAAGTGTGAAAAAATACTTTTGTATTAAAAAAACATTTTTTCTTTTTTTTCTTTTTTTTATATTATCCAGTCACAATACTTATAGTTACTTTATACACTGCTTTATATATGTTTTAAAATATCATTAATTTAAAATATCATAAATCGTTAAAAAGGTCCAATGGTCACTAAAATTTCACTTCACAAATCAAAAGTGTTTTTATAAATTAGTTATTTCCAGTGATGATTGGTATTCCATTGCCCTCTGATACAGCTCACTGATTACGGTAAAATTAATCAGGTAACATTAAAATTATGTCCAGAATGACAAATTTAAATTATACCAAGAGAGGAGGGCTGGTATGAGGGGGAAAAAAAACAGACCGAGACTTTTGCTGCAAAACAGAGAATCACCCTTTTCAAAACCTTGAAGAAACCCGAAGAGGTGTTATGTCAGTATTATTCTTTATACTTTCATTTGTTTCCCCCCTTATACAGTGTTCACTTGTTTCAGAATCAAAAATGTCTCTTAGTGGCAACAGTTTGGTTATATCATTAGTATCACAACTAATGAACATCTCTCTTGTAGGCAACTTTTACACCTACAGTAAGGTTACTTTGTCCCAACAGTACACTGTTCCCCCCCACCACTATCACATGCAATGTAAACAAATGCTTTAGGCTCTTCAAGCAGCTGCTTGTAGCTAACACATCCTTATTTTTCTGCACAACTCTGTTCTTTCTGCTTAGATTGGTTGACACGTCCACTATTCTAGCTAAACAAACTTATTTGGATTGGTGGTAACAATCTGAAAGTCACGAACACTGATTCTTGAACATTACATAGAGGTTGTTATGGATGGTGCCAGCAGACATGTTAGAGTCATTATCCTATCTTTGTTTTGAGTCTTTATCCTGTCATTATCAAATCATTATCCTATCTTGGTTTGGAAACTGTTTTTATTGTCAACTGAACGTTCTATACTTGCTATTAAGACTGTAGAAGAGATGTTGTGATATCTGAAGTGCAGGGGGATGACTTGGTTGGACTGTTCTGCTGATCAGTAAGTGTTCATGTTGTCTTTGAAGGTGCTACATTACCCTGACTCAGTCACTCCACCTGACTATGAGTGGAGCTCCCTCGGGCCCTGCTGGTACTGGCAAGACTGAGACCACCAAGGACCTGGGCCGGTCTCTGGGCATCATGGTCTACGTTTTCAACTGCTCTGAGCAGATGGACTACAAGGTAGCAAATCGTGAACGTGCACTCATTCACTAAGAGAATCTGTGCCATCTGGAACAAGCTACAATACATAATCACATTGTTAAAGCTGACACAGGGGGATCCTTAGAGTAAAGGATAAATGGAATTCTTGGATCATTTAGCTGCTAGCAAGAAATATCTACAAGAATAGACAAAGGATAGGAATAATAGAATACAGTAACTGTATAACTTTTAAAGATTTTCTGTAAAATAAGTTTTCATTCATTTGTACAACACAATTCTCTTCTGTTCCTATCTTTTTTAATTTTTTGCTCTTCATTTCAAAATCCTCTGAAACCCTTGTATACTGTATATAGTGAGCATCAAAAGACACTTTTCATTTATAGCAGGAACACATATACGAAGTTTTGAGGAAAAGGCAGCATATGCTGTGGTGTAAACTCAAGACCCATGAGAGAGGTTAATGTACGATACTGATTTTTGTCCACAGCAGAGGCTGTACTGTGAATTAAAAACACTTCTGTCATTGTAAAAAACACAAGCTTTGTAACTGGGAAACATGCTAATCACAAGGTTGCAGATGTTGTCTTGTGGAAGCAGTTGTTCTCTGCTCTAAGGTCACCCCAGCTCATTCTGCATATATTGAAAAGGGAATCAAGTATGAAGAAAAGGGTATCCATATCATGACCTTGATCCCAGAACTTGATCAGTGTAATGACATGCTGCTAGGTTGCTATCAATCACTATAAGTGGGGTTCTGTATTGCCTAGACCCTCCTACCAAGATCATCACACTTGGACATCCTCATTGATGCGTCTGCTATGCACAACAATTTAAGAAATAACTTTATTGGCCATATACAATGTCTTGTATTGGGAATCTGTCTTTTTACATACCCCAACTTGCTCTCCATGAGACACACAGACAGGGAGAGAAGCCTGGGGTCAGAGTGCAGGGTCAGCCATTTATACAACACCCCTGGAGCAGTTGGGGTTAAGGGCCTTGCTCAGGGGCCCAACGGAGTAGGATTCCTCTGCTGGCTGCGGGATACGAACCTGCAACCTTCCAGCCACAGGCGCAGATCCTTAGTCACAGAACTACCGCCCCATTATTTTATTTATATTTATTCTAACATTTAGGATATCTGCACCATATTCTCTCACATACAACATTAAGATGCTCTTGGTGCTCTCGTTGCTGAAGAGGACTTGATTCCACTGCTCACAGCTGATCACAGATGTTGATGTGACCTGGCATTTCTGATGCAGTGGAACTGGCAGCGTGAAAGATGAAAGTTAATGATCAGGGGAAGGTACTGTATTGTGACTTGTGGTTTCCGAGATTGTATCCTATCAATTTCGGGCTGTTCCTCCCTGTAACATCTTGCCAGTTCAGAAATCGCTGGCTGTGAGCGACAGTGTGTTGACTTATCCCAGCCTCCAACATACTGATGACAAGAAGGTAGTGTTTTTCTGATAATCTGAGCATACTGTCTATATTTTTCTTTCTTGATTCTCATTGGGTAAGACATTGAGCACATTAATCAAAATTATGCCACAAATGTTCAATCAATGTCCTAAATCTGTATTCTCCATTTTTCAAAAAACAAACGTGTAAATAAAGCAATTCGTTTCTTTTGAGTTTCTTTTCTGTGCTCAGTTTATGTTTTGTACATGAGGGAGTATGGTTTCTGTGGTGTTTTTATTGTTTGTTTCGCACCCACATTTTTAACAAAGTGAGCCTGCTTACAACTTTTAATTACTTCTGTGATTCAATCAGACATGGAGTTGTTTGCACATTTTTATAGGTTCATAGTTTTATAGGTGACATAGGACCAGTGGTTCACATAAAATTGGTTGTGGCTGTTTAAGCAGTCGTTTAAGTTTAAATACTGAAGCATTTCCAGTTTAAAGTATTTGTTTCTTCTTCCTTTTTTAGTCAATTGGAAACATCTATAAAGGCCTGGCCCAGACGGGAGTGTGGGGGTGTTTTGATGAGTTTAATCGAATATCTGTGGAAGTCCTGTCTGTTGTTGCTGTACAAGTAAAGACCATCCAAGATGCCATTCGAAACAAGAGACAAAGGTCTGCTAACATTAGTGGCTCTCCTACTCACACATTAGATGTTTTTTTGTGTAAATTGCACAGTTCAGTTGATCTGTGCCTGTTCCTCTTTGTGATTTTTGTCATTTAGGTTTCATTTCCTTGGGGAAGAAATAGAATTAAAACCCACGGTTGGGATATTTATAACACTCAATCCTGGATATGCTGGAAGAACTGAGCTACCGGAGAATCTCAAAGCACTATTCAGGTGGGGATTTGACAAGAATTTCTCCAAGATACTGCAATTTCACCTGGAAAAAAAAGGAGAAAGCCTGACACATAATATGAAGATTTACATTCCTTACACACTGAAGGATGTAGGTTTTTTTATGGCCTTGGACCAAGACCTGAGAACCAAAACGAAATATATTATTTACTATCTTCCATACTGTATCTATTCATAAATACTGTTTATATTTAGTCTTTCTATTTTTCGAATGAGACGTTAAACTGAGGACCTGACTCTCAGTGGTCATTAAAGATCTCCGGGCATTTCTCGTTAAGAGTAGGGAGTTATCCCGGAGTCTGGGCCAAATTCCCCCCCCCAGCCTTTACCGTGGCCTCCAAATTGTCCCCATGTATGACTGGCTTGCACTTGCCCTGTGATGGACCAGTCCAGGGTGCACCCTGCCTTGTGCTCATTGCTTGCCGGGTAGGCTCCGGCTTCCTGCGACATTGTATGGTATAAAGCGGTTCGGCAAATGACATGACATTTTGTTATTCAGGCCTTGTGCAATGGTGATTCCAGACTTTGAGCTCATCTGTGAAATAATGTTAGTTGCTGAAGGTTTCATTGATGCTCGCTTGCTAGCCCGGAAGTTCATCAGCCTGTACACACTCTGTCGAGAGCTCCTGTCTAAGCAGGTATGGGGCAGATACGTGCATTGACATACAGAGATTTCCCAGTAGTGTATGTGTTCTCTCCAGTGGATTGAATTAATGTACTCTATTCCAGGATCATTATGACTGGGGCTTGAGGGCTGTAAAGTCAGTGTTAGTAGTGGCTGGTTCCCTGAAGAGGGAAGACAGAAGCAGGCCTGAAGATCAGGTAAATGGAATAGTATTGTCAAATAAAGAAAAATCACAGTTTAGACTTCAAAAGTATTGTTTAATTTTCTCAATTATTAATATAAGGACCTGTTTTTACACCGTGTTGAAGCATAATATTAGAAATCAACATTTTTTTTTTCCCAGGAGAGAGTAGAAATATATATCTTTTTGATTTAAAACGCCTGGAGTAAAAAACGCCTCTTATTTTTTTTATTTTATTGGATTAAGGATTTTACTTTCTACCACGGTTTTCTTAGGAAATGAATCATTACATTAAAGAATTACTGGAAAATGGAAAATATTCCTGTACTTAAATACTGTGTCGCATTTGCAAACAACAGTAAAAAAAAAGTATTTTTAAAGCAAGTTTCATTTTATCGTGTGTCAACTTAGCCCTGCACTAGTGAAGTGTCTTAAACATTTCATACCTGTTGTCTTTTTTCCTCATACATTGTTTTTTTTTCCACATAGTGTCTTGTAGTAGCTGAGAGCACAGTCAAACTAAAATTCTGTTGCCAAACCCAGACATATACACTCAGTGGTAGACCTACAGCAAATCTGTTGTGCATAAAAAACCCTTGATTTGTTATCCCATGGAGATGGAGGTAGCAGATTGAGCTTAACAAGCCATATGGGTTGTAATTGTTGGAGTATGATAAATTCATAATGTTTGTTCATTTTATGCCTTTAGTTATGGTTTGTTTTTCTAACATTAACTTCCCTCCCATTCTCAGGTTCTGATGCGTGCCCTGCGGGATTTCAACCTGCCCAAAATAGTCACGAACGACGTGCCCATCTTCCTGGGCCTAATAAGTGACCTGTTTCCTCTGCTGAATGTGCCCCGAAAGAGAGACCTGGCTCTGGAACAGATGGTGCGCCAGTCCATTGCTGAGCTCCACCTGCAGCCAGAGGAAAACTTCACCCTGAAGGTGGGCATAACGGCTTTCTGCTTAGTTTGTTGTGAATCGGATTGAGGCTTTAACATTCGCTGTTTGATGCCATCAGCACCAACATATGGCTAATGTCTTTCCAGCCCTTAGCTATAAACATAAAGTGGTTCAAGTTTTAGCCTTTATCAGTGAAGTTGCACGCAGAAACAGATGCAAGCACTTCAAAATTAAAGAACCAACTCTGCCTCATGTAAAGTTGCAATCACCTAGGACTTGATCTCTCTAAATAAAACCCTTGTGTTGTGCTATAATCATATTTTCTTCAGACCTGTTTCTGTCCTTTTGTAGGTGCGTTCGTTCTTTTTGCTGATTGTGGGAACATTAACATTAAGCAGAGTATCTACCGGGTGTAGTGCTTTTTCCTTCTGCAGGCCTTTCAGATTGGGCATAGCCTGTGCGGGTTTGGGGTGTGCTGTTAGGCACTTGTGATTGATCTTCCAGAACATGCGGTGCACAGCTGGCCCCCTTGCACCCGGTCTTGTGGAATTCGTTCAGCTAGATATGCCTCGCTACAGAGCCCGATCACTCCTCCGAGTAGTACTTACCCTGCTGTTGGCAATGCTAGGTTTGGAGTTCCAATAAGAAGAGGATAGCTCCACAATGCATTGCCCAAACAAAAGCCTGTTCAGAGTCCTGCTCTCCCCCCTGCTCTGACAGAGTGCTATACTGCATGGATGGATGGATGGGGAGTGCCATCAAGTCGGTACCGACTCATGGCAACCCTATGGATAGCTCCCCCGTCACTATCCACAGAGTTTTCAGGGCAAGATACGGAGGCAGATTGCCAGGTCTTTCTTCCGCGCAGATAGTGCGGGTGCTGTTGCTGTTGTCACGGAAACATGATCCTTGTCTGCTGCCCAGTATGAGTTATTAAAGAACCTTGCGCCCGACGTGGGACACGAACCCACTACCCTGAGATTATGAGTCTTATGCTCTACCAACAGAGCTAGTCAGGGCCTATACCGTAGCATAGAGCTCCTTAAAAACCGGTCCTTCCGAAACGCGGGTTTGAAACATTGTTTTGAACTAAAAATGAGAATGTCATCCTGATGAAGCTCTTGGACTTCAACCTGCTCTGTCCCCTAAGAATGTAATGTATTCCCTACCTGTCTCCTAACGTGCAGGTGACACAGCTGGAAGAGCTGTTGCAAGTGAGGCATTCAGTCTTTGTTGTGGGAGGTGCAGGAACTGGCAAAAGTCAGGTACTGTGAATTGCCTGGAAATGGACATTAGCCTGAAAAACATTGAATGTTCTGGAATACCAAAGCCATTTTTGCACACCTTTCTCCACTTGTACACTGTCCCCATCTGTGCTGAATTTAAGTTCTGTTGTCATCGTGCTGGGGATTTACTGTGTACAAAATATGGTGTTAGTAAGAATCTGCCTACTTATATAGAGAGAAATAGTGAAAGATGTCATTCATATTTTGATTTTTAACTTGATATTTATTCTTTTATAGTTGTAGTGCAATGTAGATTTCAAACACAACAAGTGTTTCATGAATGTAAAATTAGACATTTTGAGGATATTCTTTGCTTAACTCTAGCCTCAGCTGTTTGTAGAGAAAAGTGTGTTTTTTTTTATAGATTCTAAAGACTCTCCACAAGACGTATGCCAACATCAAAATAAAACCAGTCTGGAACGACATCAACCCGAAAGCTGTGACAACAGACGAGCTGTTTGGTTTTCTCCATCCTTCCACCAGGGAGTGGAAAGATGGTAAGACAGGTCACATCACAACACGTATGGCTTGTTTTTTTTATTTTGTATGCTGTCACAGTGGATTTCATTTTGCCCGATGTTCACTTTCGGAGAATCAAGGAATAGAATACTATTTTGTGCCAGATATCTGTGTCTGTTTTAGAAACGTGATTGAGCATTCACTCTAGCATGGATTAAGTTTGCACAAAATGTTGTTTTTCTGAATGATCTAAATGGATGCTCAGGTTTTATGATTGATTTTCTGTAGTTGTTTTTTTAATGTGCGCCAACGCATTTCATACAGAATGCAGCCTGCTAAAACTGAAATATACTATCTTCCAGGTCTCTGGGATCTGTGAATGTGAAAAAAAGTATTGTTTATTGTGTTTTTAGAACAAGAAGCAACTCTTTTTTGTAAGGACGTACATATTTGTAAGACAAATAAGACAATCACACCTACAGAAATGCAATTGATATTGTAGGTTTGTTTTCTTCAACAATGAGAGAACTGTCCCGTATCTCTCATGATGGACCCAAGTGGATCGTGTTGGACGGAGACATTGACCCCATGTGGATAGAGTCTCTAAACACTGTGATGGATGATAACAAGGTTAGCACAACTATTCCTTCCAGGTGACAAAATACCGTCAAACCAACTAGTTGATTATGATAAAACGAGTCAAGTGTGGGGAAGCAGAATATAATCAGGATTTCTTTTGAGTGTAGATAGGGCCTAATAGTTTCCCAGATGTTCGCATTACCAGAAATGCAGACTTGTCATTTTAGACTGTTCCTGTTTTTCTTTCTTCTTTTTCTACGCCGCCTCCTCTGTTAAAATATGTCAATCTGCAGGGATGGTTTCTTTCTTCCCAGAGATTATATTGTTCTTGTGCAGTGTTGTTTGAAATCTTTATTAATCAAAGCATGGTAGCTGCGAACTGTTCCAACATATTCCTTGGAAGGACTTATAAACAACGTTACGTAACTGTTCCAGTTGTTACAGTGGTGGCATATTTGAGTAATATTGTAACCATGTTTAATTTAAACCCTCAGCAGTGCCAACATGAGCTAGGATTGTCAGTGGCAGTGCGGGGATAAAACAGGTTTCCACTAGCAGAAATGATGAATACACATTCATTTAATCTAATGTTTATGATACTTATGATTCTTTCACTTCTTTTAGGTCCTTACTCTGGCTAGCAATGAGAGGATATCCCTGACGTCCTCTATGAGATTAGTATTTGAAATCAGCCACTTGAGGGCAGCCACCCCAGCCACTGTCTCCAGAGCAGGCATCCTGTATGTCAACCCTCAGGACCTGGGTTGGAGCTCGTAAGTGTGCTTAACAATCACATTATGAGCAGTTGTAGCAGGTCATTTGAATGGAGTAGTTCTTACTTTTTCTAGTAGACATTCTGAAACCAGAGAAAATGTGACTTGTTTTCCCAAAGCCAGGCTACTGAAGGTTAATTCTCAAAGCTGCATTATTAATTCTGCCAAATGTCTTCACAAAATCATCCCCATCCGCAATCTTCTTTAAAGCTGTCTTGTAGAAATGAAATTAATATCGGAATATAGATAATTAAGAACATAGAGAATAAACAGGATTATAAAGTATAGGCTGTTCTAACAATCTTTGATGTTTGGTTTCTAGCAGCTTAATTGAGCCAAAACTCTTGCTCATCCTCTCAATGATCCTGTGTCTGAAGTAATGGACACCATCACAAATAAATAAAAGCCTAAAGAAATAGATTATTACTGTATTGTATCGAGAGGAACAATGACACACAACAGCAAAGGACAGAGGACTTTTTTTAGATAGTCCAATGGGTTGGATATACACTTAAACTGAAAACAAAGGCAACTGCTAACATATCCACTGATACACCTTCATTTGTAATTGCAAAAACAAAACACAATTCAAATCCCAACTACTGTAGCCACCTTGAGCGAGTCTACACTTTTCACAGCAATATAAATGCAAGAAGATACCAGGGGTTGAAAAGGGGTTAAAGCTAATCCTCTAAGAGTACCTGCTGACTAGATTTGACACATGCTGTATTATTCCCGTAATTGGGTCTTTTTCAGATTGCTTTTGTTTCTTTTTTAGGTATGTAACTAGCTGGATTGATACTCGACAGGCTCAATCAGAAAGAGCTAATCTGACTATATTGTTTGACAAGTACGTTCCTTACTGCTTGGAGCAAGTGAGATGTAATCTGAAAACAATTACACCAATTCCTGAAAACAGTATGGTGCAGGTAAGTAGCTCCAATCCCATCTCTGGCATTCATCAAGTTTAATTTCCTGGATTTTGTCTCTCTTTTGTGGCTACCTCCTAGAGTTGAAGGTCTCACTTAAGATGATGGTTCTCGTTACTCAGACTCTTCAATTAGTTTTGCACTTCTCACATCAATGTTGTTATGCTACAGTATGGAGAATTACTATACTTTCTCAAATTCACTCTCCAAATTGTTGTTACAGTATGGCACTATATGTTCTTTATGAACGTATTACCCATTTCCCCATTAACACTACAAGAAGATGACTGAGTAGAACTTTTATTTAAAATGACACTAAAAATAAACTGTTTCCGAGTTTCTCATTTTTTATGCCTTAATTGCATGATAACGCACTAGGCTGCTACGATATTAAAAATGGATTTAGGATGGCAACACTTTGCAGCTCTTTCCCTTTCCCTCTCAAGAATCATTTGTTAATCCTTCATTTGCTACTCTTGTTTTACTCACAAAACCTGGAGATTTAGTTCTACTTTTTGTCTATTAGTTGTTGCAATCTCTAGATATTGTTGTAATGATACATTTCTATCCAGTAAATTAACCTGGAAATGCTTAGCATGTTTTAACGTAAAATTAGACACTGCACAAAGCCATAGCTACTTAGTATATTATGTCTCCTTAGCTGTAAAAAGATACGAAACTGTTATTGCTCTTTCTTTCTTGTTATACTGTAAGTCATTTTGAATGATGGTAAATAGATTACTTATTATAGCAGGAATAATCCATTCGCCCATTTTCTAACCACTCCATCCAATTCTGGGTCATGGGAGAGCCAGAGCCTATCCAGGCAAGCAGGGCCCAGGGCTGTGAGGCAGCAACGCTACCGCTGTAATAATCATTATTGATCCAGTGAATGGTCTGGTCTATCTGAACACTACACTGGGAGTGATGATTTTCATCGTCCATTTGAATTGTAAAAATAGAAGCATAATCACTAACACTTTGTGCCTTCCGAACACTGAAGTATTCTGTCTACTGTGGATTCATGGAGAGATGTATGGGTCTTTTCTCCTTGTCAGACACTGTGCTCTCTGCTGGACTGTCTGCTGACCCCTGAGAACACTCCTCCAGATTCACCACGGGAGGTCTATGAAATTTACTTTGTCTTTGCCTGCGTCTGGGCTTTCGGTGGTGCTCTCTTCCAGGACCACGTGAGTATGTTCTCCTACAGCACTCGCACTTGTGTAATCATTGCGTCAGATCAGCAGAAATATAAGGATTAAGCCCATCAAAGTCATCGATGTGCAAGCCCTCTGTCTGTGGTGCACATCACACCAGTTTGCCACATTTGTTACCAGGTCCAGTTCTTTTGGAAATATATTGATGCACTTGCCTGCAATGCTAGAATGTGGTTTTGATTTATGACCCCCACCTGACTGCTCCTTCAGTTTTGTAGCATTTATTTTTGTAAGCTTAAGCGGTAATGCTGTGTTTAAAGTACAGCATGTTTTGTTGATCTGAGTCAAGATGACCATGCTACACTTTTTTGGTTTGATAGAGAGTGCCCATATGAAACAGGTTTCATAGGGTCACATGAGGCTTTAGTGACATCACTGCTTGGGAAGCTCAAGATTCCTCAGCCTGCGGAACAGTGAACATGCTCTCCTGTGATTGGTGCAGGGACCTTTCTTAACAGGTTTGGCATATGTCTCTGTTGTGTACGTTGGGTGATCAGCGGTGTCCATGACAGCGACTTTCAACTATACTGTATGTGGTTTGGTTATGCATGGCCAGACTTCCTAAGTAAGAGAAAAAGACCAGCAGATTGCTTCACCTTGGATTAAAACTGTCACCTCTTCTGATAAATCTAGCTGAAGATGAAGCAGGGTGATTCCCTGTCAGTATAGGTGATCATGTCGTTTGAAGTGAAGATCTGTCCAGATGGTGAAGATCCGTCGAGATGCCTTAAACTCTACAAAAGCAAGGCACAAGGCTCTTCTCTTGCTTCCGTTCATTTTAAAAGTTTGCCCAAACCGCATGGAATGCATATGTGGGAACCTACATGTTTTTGTTGCTGCTTGTACTGCATCGTCACAGGAAGTTTTTGTGTTTCCCCTAGCTTCTCGATTATCGTTCAGAATTCAGCCGCTGGTGGACAAAAGAGATGAGAGCAGTAAAGTTTCCCTCTCAAGGCACTGTGTTTGATTACTTCATTGACCCCCATACCAAGAAATTTGCACCCTGGGCTGACAAGATCCCTCCATTTGAACTTGAGCCTGATGTTTCTCTACAGGTACTGTAATTTCTCAGAACAGTAAGTGGAGATCATTGATTGTCTTAGCTTGTTTGGTTACTTGCAATATTCTTCCATCAGCAGCGTCTGCTAGCAGGCAGCCTAACATGCACTGCTGTTAAGTCTTTGACATTTTCCATTCCTCCACTCTGTCATTCTCGTGTGTTTTCTTCTTTATGCAGAAACACATTTCTATACTGTGGTTATAATGGAAACTGACATTAATGACAAGGACCACCTGACAATGTGTCACTTAGATTTGATTGGCAAACGTGATGGGTCAACTTCTAGAGCACTCTATATTGGATGCTCATGTACAGTTTACCTTGTGAATGTGAGTTAAAGATTGCTAGATGGCAAAACTGACTTCTTATCAATCTTGAAGACAAACAAGAAATTCTCTTCTCACCCAAACCAAGCTGAATTAATAATCACTAACCATGTTACAAAAAGTAGAACATAGCACTGAAGGTTTTGAGGACATTTCTGATGCTGAAACTTAAATACATTGTAACATCTGATGGAGCTAAAGATGTCTGAGAGTTTTGCACAGCAGATTAAGTTGCATAAATACAACAGGTCATAATGTAGGTGCAAATTCAATATATAGTGTAACAAACACACAACAAAAATATGATCAATTACTACATCAGTGAGGGACAGAAAAAGGAAAAAACAAACAACAAAAAAACTGCTTTCTTAAAAAGCATTAATTTGTACACTTGACATTAATGCAACAAGCTGTGCTTCTCAAACTTTACTGCGATTTATATTTAATGAAATTAAAGAGAATCACCTTTGTTTTTATTTATGATGGAACAGAAAATAAAAATATGAATATATTGCAGAATAATATACATAATTTCTAAATTATATTTGACATTTATACATTAGGTATTAATCACACGTGTTTTGATTACATTTGTTTTCAGCTTCTCTCAATTTGTTTTTTGCATTTTTCATTTAAAACAAATTTCTCTTGTATACAGCTGTATTATAGCACAGCACTTTACCTCCAGACATTGCATTTAGAAAGGTTCAAGATTCTAAAGCAGTTCAGAAGACTCAAATGAACACTTGACAAGAATTCAAGGTTGCAAAGGACTACAGCTCAGAATGATTCTGTTCTTTTAAATCCCTGTTGGGCATTTAAATTTTATTGTTCCTGGTATTTGTTCTCAATGGCAAATTAACAGCCTTCCTAGTGCCATTCAGTTTCTTTTCTGAAGACAAGGCTTAAATTTTGTCTAACTGCCCGAATTTACTGCTTTTCTATATTTCACACAGCAGAATCAATAATGTGACTGAAGTGAAGAAGATAAAAATTTATGGTATCTTGCAATTTAATGGTTGAAAAGATGCAATTTGAAAGATCATAAATTGTGAAGGAGTTTATGCTTCATTGGCCTTGATTCAGTACTTGCTGTTAGAACTTGATTTGTGACTGTCTGCAAAGTGTGATTAATGATGTGATCAATGCATTGCCACAGAGCAGTACAGCAGTCCTAATGCTCTTCATTAGAATAAATAAAATAAATTGACTGCAGCTTTATAAAAACTCTGTAATGGTTAAAAATCAAAAAATGTCAGCCTCCAGTTACGATTTAGCTTTTCTTGGTCTATGCCCACCTATATCACATTATTCATGACAACCTTTCTGAGATGTAGAGGGGTCTGCTTAACATTGTCAGACTTATCGCAGAAAAACGAAGTGAAACATTGTGAGAGAAGTGAAAATAGGTTGCTTTGTTGACTGGATCACGCCTTTGAGGAAAAAATGTAGATTCTTTCATCATACAATAACCAGGTTATAACCATACGCTTTACCTGGAAAGTGGGGGGACAGCAGTTTTGCGAAGTTTAAATGCAAAAAATTGCAGTTCAGGCTTATCAAAAGTTTACAGAGTGATCTTTGTGCAGATTGCTCTCCATTTGCTTTAGAAAAGCCGTTCTTTACAATAACCTTACAAGGAAAATTCATTTTACTCCAGAATACCTAAAAAATTGGTCACATGGTTGCTCAAATTAAAGAAACCCAAGTGCATATTCTGTAGTTCAGCTTGTCTGTTTTCTTATACTGTACAGGTATGTCTATTGTAACCCTTTTGCTTACTTTATGCTCATTCACTTTAAATTTGATTTACTTCTTTATGGTCATCTTTCTCACCCATTCACTCACCCCTGACTGGCTATCCATTTTTTTTATTTTTGTTTTTATTTCATTTAGAAAAACACCCCAGATTGTTCCATGATTGTTTCTTTTTAATGAATACAAATACGTTTTTCGATTAATCTAAGGTGCTACAGTGAATATAGGACAATTTTACCTAATCTATACTCCTTTTATAAATACCATTTCAGTGTTTCCAGATTTCTGTATTGGGATAAACCGCAGACAGAAGATTGACCAGTGTTTATAACATTAAAATTAAAACTACCTACTGTATGTCACTTTGCATGTTGTTATTTTTTTTCTAATTAGAATAATATAAATTTAGGTGTGGATCTATATAGTTCATAGCCTTTTTCTGTATGATAAAATGCTTTTATGAGCATGCCATTTTTTGCATTATAATAAATAGTTTTATTCTGTCCTCATAAATAGTACTTTTTAGATGTGGATTATTGAAGTAGGTACAAATAATGGCTGGGGAAAGCATCTTTCCCTTGGAGAATGACTGAATGGAGTAAAAGGTTGTTTTAAACTCCGATTGTAGCATTACAAAATGATAATGCAATGCAGCCATCCCATTTAACATATACTTATTTTATTCTTGCAAATGGGAGTCAGTTTAAGATCTGGACTTTTCCAAGAGATGTGTAAAGACATCTGTATAAATTAGATTTGTGTATGTATACATACACACATCCTCGAGTACAGGGTAGAATGTGAGATTGTATTTAAAATGTGTCTCTACTGCGCACATTCCGCTAAACAGCTTCCTGAAGCTACTCGACGGGAGCGCTTTCTTGTGAATGACCTGTAAATTCACTCGGAGGTTTGTTTTTTCTTCTTCGACAGACGGTTCTGGTGCACTCGGCAGAAACCATTTGCCTGACGTATTTTGTGGATTTACTAGTGAAGAAAGGCAAACCAGTCATGTTAGTCGGGAACGCGGGAGTGGGGAAAACGATCTTGGTTTCAGATAAGGTTTCCAAGCTGTGCGAAGATTATATGGTGGCCAAAGTTCCCTTCAATTACTACACCACCTCAGCTATGCTGCAGCGTAAGTGACGCTGTCCGTCTGAGAATACAACACAGGCCACTGAGCTTGTCGCCTGCTGCAGGATGCCCCCCTTGTGTTTTAACCTTTATTAGTAATGTGCTCATTATACCTGATCTGAAAGTTAATTCTGCGTGAAAACATTTAATTGCATGCCTTGCAGAGTATGAATCCTAGATTCTAATAAGGAGCATTTCTAGTTAATGATTTTAGTTGAATATGTGCATATAAATTGAAAACTTTTTTTCTGTTGTTGTTTTAAATCTGCTCACATTTTTTTTTAAATTGGAACCTACCGGATCTGAATAATAAGCTGGTATTTAAGATTTTGTTGTTTAAAAAAAAAAACAATAAATATGAATTAAAAAAATTATTCAGTTAAGTTTATGTTAAATGGTTTAAAAATAATTTTTAATTGCTTGATTTCAGAATTATTATTAATTGATGCAACTTCATGTACACTTATGGTAGTTTATGGTAAATAATTGTTTTTCAGGCATTGGTGTTTAGCAGGTTTTGGGTCTCAGCTGATTTGTATTTAGTGTTTCATGTAAATGTTATGATTCTTAAGTGACTATAAAAACGCTTTGTCGTAGGTGTTCTTGAAAAACCACTTGAGAAAAAAGCTGGAAGAAATTTTGCTCCGCCAGGCACCAAGAGGCTAATTTATTTCATTGATGATCTAAACATGCCAGAGGTAGACATCTATGGCACTGTCCAACCACACACTCTCATTAGACAGCATTTAGACTACAGCCACTGGTAAGTGTGTTTGCACAATTCTTTACATGATAGAGGAAAGAGTCTGAGTTTTCCCGACAGCAGTACAAGAATTTATGAACATAAGAAAGGTTACAAATAAGAGAGCGGGCCATCCAATCACTCCTGTGCTCCCCCAGTCATTTCTGACAAAAACAAACTAAGCCACTTAGCCTCTGACAGTAAGACAGAAGTTCTCATTTAACTAGATTGAACAACAGCCAAGGCCTGTGCATATTACAAAGGTAATTTCTGTTTTTTTTCTGCCTGTAAAAAATAAAATATTTTCCCACGTTTCTGCCCTCCATAGTCCTGAACCGAATTATTTTTATATTTGTTTGTTTTCCGTAAAATACAGATATCCTTATGCACAAATAAGATCTACCTGCACGTTACCTTCTTTACTGCAGCTTGCAGTGTTACTTATCTTCCACCCGTCTCCCCAAAGTCAATCAATAAATTAAGGGGAAAAAGGCAAGTGGGAGACAGGACGAGGTCAGGCTTCAAGGCACGGACAGGGAGGTGGTGTGGTGAAGGAAAACTGACAGAGATAATGTGTATTTAGTAAAATTAATGTTTTTCATGCCGGATGGCCTTACCAATAAAATCTCAGTATCCTTGAAAATGTGGCAGTTTTGTGCTGTGACTCATAGATCTTAGACTCAAAACCTAATAAATACAGAGTTGAATTAAAATAAAAAAAAATAGTCTCTTAACTGCCCAGGACTGGATCGTAAATGAGTGCTCTTTCCTCTGTCTAGGTATGACAGGCAAAAGTTAGTTCTGAAAGAAATACACAATTGCCAGTATATCACCTGCATGAATCCTGCAGCCGGGAGCTTTTCAGTGAATCCAAGACTCCAGGTAAATGGGTTCCATTTGTCCTCTATCGGAGTAAATAGACTGTTAATCCTGAAGAGCACTGCAGAAAAGACTATCCAGGAGCCAGAGTGCAAAGGCAGAGCCGGTAGCATAGTACCTTACTGTTCTTACTGTTTTAAAACTTCCTTGTTTTTTATTTGAAGTTTTTTTCCCCCACAGAAAATGTGCCATTGCAATCCCAGGTCATTACACTAACCTAACATTTCTTTATGTGTGAAGGCGACAACTCAAATAAACCTGTCAGGTCAAAACCACAAGGGTGGTGAAGCTGTTACATTTTACACATTAGTGGAGGGTTCGTTTATAACCATTTCAGAGAGGTTTTAGCAATTAGATTTCTGAAAAAAAAAACCCTGTTGAGAACTAGGAACAAACAAGTCCTGCTTGCTTGAAGCAACATCAAAAAGTGTGCACTCAAGATCTAGCCGGCCTTAAGACAGTAACGCACCGCCAACAAGGAAGAAGGGGTGGAAAGTGAAATCGGAAAACAGACTCATTCCTTTTTCTCCCGTCCTGTTGTGTTTCCAGAGACATTTCTCCGTGTTTGCTGTGCATTTCCCTGGGACTGATGCCTTGGTCACCATCTACAGCAGTATCCTGAGCACCCACTTCCAGCAAGGGGGCTTCAGTTATGGAGTCACTAAATCCGTCAGTACTCTGATCCAGGCCGCCATCTGCCTGCATCAGAAAATGACCCAGAACTTCCTGCCCACGGCCATTCGGTTTCATTACATCTTTAATTTGAGGGATTTGTCCAACATTTTTCAGGTACTATATTTTTTTTGGAATGGGTTGCTAGGAGCTTCAGTCTGTTTGGTGAATTTCAGATTTGCCGAGGCTGTCTGTCAGTTTCCTCCATGGCTAAATTTTGGATTCGTGATTCCTGTCTCTTGCTGCAACTGTGAGCGGGCATTTTTTTTTAAATCACGTAATACCTTGGTGAATAAGGTTATATCTTCAAAAACTCAAGGTGAGAAGTCACAAGTGGTTGAGATTTTTATACAGTGCATTGCAGCATTGTTGTCTCAACAAGTGTTGAGAGTATAACACATGTCTATTGTATCTGTAAGAAGTAGAAGTTGATAACTCAGAACTTTATCCTTTCTATGCTTCACATAAAATTGATTGTTTTTAGATTGTGTATTTCAGTACGTACATTTCTTGTCTTTCTCATTAAATGCGTGTGTTGACCTACAGTTAACAGTACTACTGATAAAACATTCACTTTGTGGTATGAGCTAAAGATGGGTTTTCTGTTTGTGTTCATAAGGTTCAAAGCAAAGAAAGAATTCATTTTATGCTCAAAATACTGTATGTGGTTCATAGTCACTTTCTAAAAGTCTCCTGGAATTATATTTTCAGGGAATCCTGTTTGCTTCCCCAGAATGTGTCAGATACCCAACTGATTTAGTGAACTTATGGCTTCATGAATCATCTAGGGTTTATTCTGACAAACTAATGGAGGAAAAAGATGTCGAGCTTTTCAACAAAATTCTGATCGACACAGGGAAAAGATACTTTGAGGTAGGATGCTACCAACATGATTTTCTTCAATTATGCACCCACTTGCCATCATGGTACATCTTCTGTGAATACCTAGAGACAAGTGCCAGCTGTTTTAAACTTCATGTTGCCTATTTAACGAAATTATACTTGTTGCTGCTGTTATTTTAGTCAACTGTATTAATAATAAAGTTCTAATCAATATAAGGTAAACACAATCATAATACTTCTACCACTGCATCACTGCAGTCATGCTGTATAAACAGATCTCTCCAACACATCTGAGTAGAAAACATTTACTGTATTTGCTTTTTACCTTTGACTGATCTTAGAATTATTGGAAGTGCAGAATTGTTGCGTGAGCAGGGTTAAATTAAAAATGAAATGCTGTAGAACACAGACAAATGTCTACAAGGTATTACTGGGTAATATATCAATATCAATTGGAATTGGTTAAGACTTTACAGATATTAGTTTGAACTGTAATTAATTTTGCTTGCATACATCAAATCAAATATGTTACTTTTTTTGTTTTTAGGGAGTTGACGAACACATGTTTATCCACCAGCATCTTATCTACTGTCACTTTGCCCAGGGAGTCGGGGAGCCTCGATATTTCCCTGTTTCTGACTGGGAGAAACTGCATAAGACTTTGACTGAGGCTCTGGAGCATTACAATGAGCTACACGCTGTCATGAACCTTGTTCTGTTTGAAGAAGCAATACAGCACATGTATGTCCTCTGCTTTGTATTAGTGGTTAGAGACTACATGAGTAACTTGAGCAGTGTGCAATATGTAACATAAGAACAAACACCCCACCCTGTGAATGTGTATACCCGGCAATTCATTCATTTATGAAGTGGAACCAAACAAACTTGCACCAACAGCTGTAAAGTTGTGGGGCCAAGTTTCTGCTGCACACACTGGTGTACCCTTGATGTACTTTACCCCAGCTGCTCCCCTCCCCCATCTGTAATCTGTACAAATGAGTACCTACATCCCTTGCAGTGCAACTGTGCAAGGGATCCCACTCGAGGGCGAATCATGTACTGTCACTCCACTTAACACTACAGACACCAGTATAAGATTCAGGATGATGCTCCTCTAGGTTTGTGTGTGGATTGTACTTCTCTGAGCCGTCTGTCCTTCATAAATGCTGTTTGCGAGTCAGTGTTAATTTGTCAGTTATACCGCTACTATGTTTATGAAAAAAGTTACTGAATGTAGCTTGAGTTAAAATATAGCTAGGGAATTGGTACAGGTTGCTAATATTTTCACGTGTACAAAAAATAGGATTTGAACCCCACTAACTTGAGCAGCAAATAGTTTGACAAACATTCCCTCCAATATCCCAACAATCAGATTGGAACATTTTCAACTGCGCTTTGTCCTGTTCTCTGGATATAATATTATGGAGGATTTTTTGTTTTCGATGCTGGTTTAGGTGTTTGCGAAATACGAATGGGCATACTCCAAGGGTACCCAAACCTCAGAATATATGTAGCGCCCGTGACTCCTATGGTTCTGTTCTTGTAGATGCCGAATCAGCCGGATTCTGGAGGCGCCGCATGGGAATGCCCTTTTGATAGGGGTTGGTGGAAGTGGAAAGCAAAGCTTGTGCCGTCTGGCAGCGTTTCTTAGTGTGTTGGAAGTATTTCAAATCACTCTTCGCAAAGGCTACGGGATCCACGATTTAAGGGTGAGAAATACAGACGTCTTTAAAACATATAAAGACACCAAAGGGAAACAGAGGGAAATTAGGTTTCTCTTTATCTATGACATTGATAATATATACTACTAGTTAGTGGGTCTCATTTCTTCTCCTTTCATTATCTAATGCTTTCTAAATTTTTATGTTATATACATCTGCTATGTTTTTTCCTCACTTGAGCTTTTTTATTATTTATACTGTATATAGCAAAAAAAATGCTCTGTGATGGCATCGCTTGTCAATCCTAATGCACACCTGTAGGTGCTGCCTTCAACTTGTTAATCTCCCTTTACTCAGAGAAAATTAAAAATAAGGGCTGTATATACAGTACAAATGATGCTGATATGCATGGACCAATGCAACGGGGTATCACGGGGGTATTTGTTAAAGTTATAGCCACCTTTGTTAATTTCAGCCTTCGGGGCTTGTGTTTCATTTGCCTTTCCACGGGTTATGTCTTCAGCGGTGGACGGAAGTGACATAAGGTCAAGCAGTCTGAAAAACAAAAGAAATGATGCATAGCCAACAGCACGCTGTCCCTGAAACACGTCCAGTCCCAGACTCATAATATCGCATTCATGTCTTCTGTCTTCATCCCCTGTTCATGAAGCGATCGTTCTGTTCAAGAGCACCCTCAAAGCGATCGCTTTTGGATCAAAGTTGTCTCTGTGAACAGATGAAACTCCCACTTCTCCTGTGTGATTTTAAGTTCATGTGAAGCTCACCGTACTGGGAAAGTTCACTTCCTGAGGTTGTGATTGCCTTTTCTTTTACACAGAGTGACATTGCTGCCCTATATATGAAGGTTGGGGTGAAAAACATCGGGACTGTCTTCCTTCATACAGATGCTCAGATACCAGATGAGCGCTTTCTAGTACTAATTAATGACATGCTGGCATCAGGTACTGTGCAATTTAGCTGAATGATGTAGGTTAGGGCATTGTAATAATAGCAGCAGAGATCTATGCTTTAAAACTTTGACAAACATGCTCATCATCAAAACACTTCAGACATAAAGCATTTTAAATGAGCGTAGGTCACTTGAGTTTTGAATAGGCTTCATCAGCAGGGGTTAGGGATCAACCTTGGATATTAGTTATACTGGAGATATCAAGTCACCTTCCATAACCTAAGTAAAATAAGCTGCTTAACATAATTATTTGCAATCAGTAAATGTAGAGTTCATTATAAAGGCTTTTTTTTAAATATAATTCTGTATTGTTCGCATGAAAAAGCCATACAAAAGAACACAGTTTAAGTGTTATTTTAGAAAGTGTGCTTTCTGTTTGAAAAACCTTCCTCCTGCTGAACATGAAAGGCTGATTAACCTTTTAAAGGTAAAGATCTACAGAGAAACGGCCTTTTGTTCTAATCAACTGACCAGTTAAAGTTTCACCTTGTAACCTTAAAATGACTGTGCTTTTTTAGGGCGTCTTTTTGTACATTGTTGGAAAATAGGTTTTATTGTAAATGCTTTATTCTACGTTTTAAAGCAAAATTATTTATGAATTCTAACAGAAATAGTGAAGTATAAAGCAAAATCAATGAAAGAATAGGGTTTGCTTCCTGACAGAGATAAAGAGACAGAGACAATAATTCATAATATGGAATATAACTGGACAATTAAATTTGTCCTCGTTTGATCGCTGATTTATTGCTTTTTTACCCTGCGTGTCTTAAAGTATGCAAATTTAATTATTATGTATTTGTTCATTGTTTATAAAGTGTTTAATTTATGTTTGACATTCTAAGATGCCAAAAGCAGCCATAATCTTTTGCACATTTACTGTACCTCTTCCTTTCAGCAGTACCAGGTGGTCAACAGAAGCGCTGTGGTCAGGTGCAGGCAGTCCTGGGTCAGTCTGTGTGTACTGAGCAACGATGTGTATTTCAGGGGATATTCCAGACCTGTTCAGCGAGGAGGAGGTGGACACTGTCATCTCCTCCATTCGGATGGAGCTGAGAGGATTGGGGCTGCTGGACACCAGAGAGAACTGCTGGCAATTCTTCATCGACAGGATTCGCAGGCAGCTGAAGGTCAGTTCTATATTTATACCAATTACTGCAGATTGTCCAATGTGGAAAATGTGAGGCTCAGCTCTGTTTTGTACTGCTAAAAATTGTATTTCCTGGTTTCCTCCTGTGGTGAAATATCTGAAGATTGGTGTCTGTTTCTTTCATTTCTGGGTTTGTTCGACTTTTGTTAAAATATTAATAAAGCAAATAAGGTTAAATCCCGAAGTAATCCATCAGTCCTGCTCTGGCAGATTGCATTTACTTATTTAATATTCAAAAGAAAATATCTTTCTGACTAATTAGTAATTCCCTCACGCTGTTTATACATTTGCGCTCTGCGTACTTTGCTTTCCCAGATAGTAATGCAATTAAGCAAAACATTTTTTTTGTAAAATTGCTTAAGTAAGTATAATTAGAAAGTGGAAAGTTTCTTGAGTTGATAATGTGTAACTATGAGCACTGTCGTATATAGAAATTGTTGTTTTTTTACCTCCTGAAATAAGTCCTACTGAGGAGGCTTGCTGCTCTAAGGTTAAGGCCCTTGGATGGAATATGTCAATGGTGGTATTTGTTCTGGAAAACACATGTTGGATTTTCTCAGAGCATTTCCAGACACAACGTTTGTGTGAAGTGATTGCTAAGGAGACAGTATGGCAACTTCATATTTACGTTCGCATGCTTTTAATTAGGAGCTGTTCTGTGTGCAGCGCTCAGTTGGGTAAAACAGAAATCGCTGCCAACGCCACCTCTGAACTCGAGTCAGACATTTTGCATAACAGAACCACTCTGTAATCTCAGTGAAAACGATACCTGTTAGCTTAGCCCACAAATGCCTAACTGACTTCATGCAGTCTCTGCCTAGCGTGTTATTAAATGTTGGCTGTCTGGTTTAACTTCAGCTGTGACGACGGTTATGACGTGATGGAGTGACACTTCAATGAAGTCGACCTCCGTGCAGTACGCTTTCTTGCTGACCAATTCATTGTGTGTGGTGTCTCTGCTGGGTCTCCCCCCCACCCTCCCCAGCCACAATGTTTGGCTAAAACTAATTTGTCTTGCCACTCTGTAATTTACGTGCAAGCATATGCTCCCCAGGTTGTCCTGTGTTTCTCTCCCGTCGGCTTCACTCTGAGAACCAGAGCAAGGAAGTTTCCAGCTCTGGTGAACTGCACCGCCATCGACTGGTTTCACGCTTGGCCTCAAGCAGCCCTGCAGTCTGTCAGCAGCACTTTCATCGAGAAGATAGACGGACTGGATGTAAGCTTAAACCAATCGGTGCCTGATGTTGGCAAACCCTGCAGTTCTTCCATTGAGAGAATCACCTACAGTAGTTGCTTGATGTGCAGGTGGACAGAGCAAGAATCGTGTGCATTTGTTTGCTTAAATTGGGGAATGGGCAATACTGAGTTCACAAATCACCTAACTTCGAAGGAAAAACACTGGTCTTTCAAAACCTTTCAATACATAATCTGAGCACATTGTGACAATGGAAGTATGAAGTCAAACTCTAAAAGTATTTACTCAGTGCCATTCCACCAGTCAGTAGCTAGGTTTCAGCAGAAATCTTCCCTAGAGACCTGTAAAACAGTTATTTTTTACTCCATAAGAAAATATTCATGCCAATCCACACAAGCAGGGAGAGCTGGCATCATATTCTTATTTTCCTAAAACTTATTTTTGCTTCTGAAAGCACAGTTAACAGAAAGGCATCCATGAGGAGTTTGGAAACTTTTTGTAGCTTGTGCATCTGTGTGAAAACTAGGTACGGCAGAATCCATTAATGCTGCCGTGATCGGTTACAATAGAAATAAATAATTCATGATGAAGGAAATTACTCTAATTAGCAGGCAGTTCAAGTCCTTTGATAAAACTGAGGTCTAATTCCGTGAAGGGCAGGAAGTGCTGTCATCAGTCAGCCCTGAAAAGATTAGCATCTATTATGAATGAGGGTAGGCACCCTGGTGAAGTCATGTGTGTCCCAGAGACAAACTTAATATCTTCCAAAATGGGACAAACTTAGTCTCACAAACATACCAAGGCTGCTGCTGGGCTATTATGTGCAGGTACAAGCAAACAACCATAGTCATATCATTCTCTTCCTGTCCATCATTCTGACAGCTGTGAAAATACATTTTCCATGCAAAGTAGGGAATAAATCACAAGGCCTTTGTTTAGTACCCCTTCAAGTCCAAGATTTTTGTTAGGGGTCTTTTCTGATAAATAGCTCCTGGAGCACAATCACAGTCTCTGAGGCCCGGAAATTCATCATGAGATACATATAAAAAGTCAGAAAGAGCAACCTACAAGTGGAAGGGGATCATATAGGCTTCGGTTTTTTTTTAGAGTTCTGTAAACTTCTGTGAAAAAGACTCAAGCAAAACAGTTTCCATTGGCGTTTTTTTTTACAGAGCTGTTATTTTTATCCTCGGTGACCATAAATGACCATAAAAATGCAATTAAAACATTTCTCCCGCTTACATTGTGCGATTCATATGTACACGGAGCTGAAAAGTAGCTAATCCCACAGTGTCAATAGAACACTGGTGGGCGTGAGAGGCTGCCATTCAGAAGAGCACTGGGAAAGATAACAATAAATGGCTAATAATGACACTTAATGAGCTTGATTAAGTTGATTTGTTATGAAAAATTAAGTAGCAAAGGGTGAATGTAGGCGATATAATAAGAGATTAATTTTAATAGAATTGAAATGCTGTAGGGTTTTAAAACACAATTGGGACTAACACGAAATTCTAAAGAACAATTACATAGGAATGCAAAATTAATTCTTAACAGGCATCTTTAGATAATTACATGAAAAGATGTACTTCTCTTTTTTTCCAACACCAGATCTCGTCTGCCTTTATATATAATTTTTATAAACTCTTTTTATGTCAATATTGTTTTAATAAATTAAAGAATTCTTGGGGAAATTAAAATATTGTATCCATTTGCCAGAAATATTTGAAGTTTTACAATGCCTTTGGTATTTCTGAAGATAAAAGCAGACATTGCTTATGTTTAACCACATTTAGACAATTTGAACTGTTCTTGAAAGATTTTCTTTTCTCTCATTTTTCTTGTCTATTTTCTTTTTAGCCTGAAGTCAAAGTTTCCATAAGTGAGTTCATCTCTTATGCCCACACCAGTGTAAATGAAGTGAGTGTCAAATACCAGCAGAATGAGAAACATTATAATTACACCACACCCAAGAGCTTCCTGGAGTTTATGAAACTCTATGGCAATCTACTCGATAAGAAGAGGAAAGAGTTAACCCAGAAGATGGAGAGACTTGAAAATGGACTTCAAAAACTGCAGACAACAGCTTCCCAGGTTAACATTTCATTCTGTTTCTGGATTGTGTAAAAAGTGAAAGCTTAAGGTGCCAATTAACCCACGTCCTGTAGCTCCATAAAGACTGGGTTTTGATGATATATTTAACCTTGCCAGTGATGTACTTCTGCACCTAATTTTTCTTACTTTTTTTAGTCAAGCGATCAGTGATCAGGTCATTTATGTTTGCAGTTATTTAAGAATGCATTAATTGGCTAGTAGTTTTTTATTGATATCAGGTACAACATTCCTGAATATTTACAGTATGATCCCTTAAGTGTGATCTTTTTTGAGACATTATACCCATTCATTTCCCTCAGAATCTACTTTTCCAGACATGGGCATGTGGGGAAGCTTACATTGTGACAATATTTGGGTATTAAAAATCCATTCCAATCAGACATACAGTAGGTCAGAAAAGTGACTACATATTTAAATAGAGGTGAATATTTAATGGGAGTTTTAAACCGATGTTGGGGAGCAGGTCAACCTCTAATCTCACACACTTCTGGTGAATCAATATCTCACCTCCTGAGCCATTTACACAACTTTTCTCGCACCCCTTTTCACCCTTGCAGCGGCTCCACACCTTATTCCTTGCAAAATGAAACTGGGGGTGGGGCGAAGGGTCTTTTCAGCCTCGACAGTTTGATGTTAAAGCCATTCTGCCATTTCCTCAGCCAGGACAGACATCCCAAAAGATAACATAATCGCGGGCGTGAATCTTGATATGATGTTCAAGGAATGTATGCTATTTATGATTTTTTTTCTCAAAAGACTTCTTTCTGGCTGCACGAACGTCACATTTACATGGCAAAAAAAAAAGATACTGAATTATGTTTTTAGAATTATATTTTTTTTTAGTGGTATTCAGGCTCCGATTGTCTTGCCAACAACGCCAACAACAGCGAACGCGGGAAACGAGCAGGTTTAATTAAACGAGGACCTGTTGAGAAAAATTTCCAATCATCTTGTTGAGAATGAGCGCATTCACAGTATTCATCTCGAGGCATTATTCTTTATTTATATGAGTGTGAACGTGCATCTCCAGAGGACCCAAATTAATTGAATACATTAAAGAGGAGGCCCGGGGCTTTATTTATTTTCAACTTCCTGACACTTGTTTAAATTAAACCACCGCTGGTGTTCAATTTGATTGCGCTATTATGACTACTCAGGTGGAGGATTTGAAGGCGAAGCTGGCGACTCAGGAAGTGGAACTTCACCAGAGGAACAGGGACACCGAGGCTCTCATTGCTAAAATAGGCCAGCAGACCGAAAAGCTGAATCAAGAGAAAGCTGTTGCTGACGCTGAAGAACAGAGGGTATCTTTTACTAGTCTTTGGTCTTGCTGGTCGAAAACACACAATTTTAAACTCAAATGGGAGTGAACAGTAGCATCCAAGTCACGAATGACACTGGGAAAAAATGTCAATATGCAGTAGGCTGGGCCCAGCAAGTTTTAAAATGATCTAGTACAGCTGTTGTTTTTTTTTAGGATTACATAGAACAAACAGCTCAGGAAAAACTGCATTTAATACAAAGAACAGGGCACACCCAGCACTTGCTTTAAAGCAAAATGTTGTTATTAGGACCTGGTGCTGTTATAACACAGAAAGTAAAATTAAAAGGTGCAACATAATATGCGTACTGTTTAATTAGCTATTTTCTCGAATCTTTGAAACCTTTAGCTTTGTGTTCACCGTTTGGGAGGAGGAGGTTAAATATTGTGTTTTCTCAGACTTTTTCCATTGCCTTTTCTCCTCGAGCCTTAAAAATATGTTTCACACAAGTGTCTCAGACTCGGAGGGTAGGTTGAGATGTTATTTTCGCAGAGAAACATTCAGAAACAGGCAGTAAAGCATGTGGCTTTGTGCCCTCCAGGTTGCGGCCATCCAAGCAGAAGTTACTAAGCAGCAGCAGGAGTCAGAAGATGACCTGGCCAAAGCAGAGCCTGCCCTTAATGCTGCCAATGCAGCTCTTAATACCTTAAACAGGGTAAATTAAACTAATCTAACTCCTCTTTTTGCACAGACGTTAAAAATACGACAAAAGCTATTGGTCATGATTCTCATTTACTGCTGTTTTAATGCCTGGCAGTACACATGTATTTTATGTATCTCAAAGGAAAGTGAAATCTCAGAGCTGCTTTTATCATCTTTTCCAGCGGCCTCATATTTTATTAAGGTACTGAAAAAAGTTAATGAAATCCTGAAAATCTATGAGTTCAGTTCTCTTTGATTTCACTTTGCTCTTCAATACATGTTGCGTTTAGCTCCGATACCGCACATACTGTTAATACAGTATAATATTTGTAAGCGCTGAGCATTTTTTGCCTTTTACATTTCAGTTAAACCTGACTGAGCTGAGGACATTTCCTACTCCACCTGCTGTTGTTACCAATGTGGCAGCGGCTGTTCTGGTGCTCCTGGCCCCTCACGGCCGAATCCCAAAGGATCGAAGTTGGAAGGCAGCTAAAATGTATATGAGCAAGGTGAGACAGCTTACATGGCAGCTGTTATTTAAATAAGGAGGGTTGAGCCGATAAATCCCAATCAGAGATTCCTATGGGCTGAATAGGGTGAAGACCTCAGGTTTAAGCAACTGGGGAAGAGTCTCATTTAAGACAGTGATACCCCTGTCGTACATTTTTGGGGTGTACTTATGTTAGTGGCTTATTTACTAAAAAAGATTAGTTGAAAGGCTGTCCACACTATAAAAAAATAACACAATCAACTACACAGTAACCACCTATAATATCTTTTCAAAAGGACACTGTCATTTGTTCTCTGAAAATATACATAAATATCGTAAAGGCAAACAAAATATGACAATTGCCTGGTGTGCTACAATGCTACATTTTATGCTGCGCAAAATGATTTTGAATAAGAAAATACTTTTTACAGGATATTTTCTGTTGAACATATCCCATTAAATACATACAGTACACATACACTGGATTTGTCATTTCAACGTGCTCTTCCTGATATGAGTGATGTTTGATTCTGATGCAAACGTGAGAAAGAAGCTGCATCAGTGTCCAATGCCTGCATAGCGACAAGTAAAGGTTCATTCCACGCTGAAAAGTAGAAAGGAAAAAGCAGCTGTTTGGTTGTTGAGCCTTCTACAGGTTTTAGGGAGAGAGAGGAAGGTAGCAGGGGTAGAAATAACAGGAGACCTAAGGACAGAGCAGGAAGATGGCCGATTGTACATGTCAGAGCAGTATTAAAGATCTTTCCAAGCTAGTATCTCCCCATTTCACCTCTCCTGACCAAGATTACACTGACTTTTCTGTTTGCATCTTTTTACAGGAATTTCGGGACTTGAGAAAAACATCAGAAACCAATATTATTCTAAAACATGGGTGACACCTTCCCTCCTCTCTCAGTGACGTTTTTTAAAACCCCTCCATTATAGATTCCAGTTTTTCACACCTCTCTCCCAAATCTTCCTTCATTTGGATACTGTTTCTCACCCTCTCTTTCATTTTACTGTGCTTTACAGTATATCCCTGCTTCTCTTCTCTCTCCCTCTGTTTTGTAAATCCTGTTTAGAAGGAACAGTAATTATTCAATATTTTTGAAAAACATCAGAAAATATTATTGGTGCTCAAAAACGCCCATCATAAACTCCTTGAGCCCTTGTTGGTTAGAAATGTAATTTTTGAGTTTCAGAAGGTGCTTTGTCCCTTGTGTTTGACAGGTGGATGATTTCTTGCAAGCGCTGATGAATTTTGACAAGGAGCACATCCCTGAAGCCACTGTCAGAGCAGTGAAGGATGAGTACCTCAGCGATCCTGAGTTTAACCCTGAGTTTGTTCGCTTAAAATCGTCAGCAGCAGCTGGGCTCTGCGCATGGGTTATTAACATTATCCGCTTCCATGAGGTATATAGCACTGTGACTTGACTATAGGTTAACCCTCAGCATTCCACACCATACTGTGTGCATATCTACCCTAAAACTAAATTCCCGCTAATGACTGAAAACTGAACATCTGAGATCTTTTGTTTTACTGTTCCTTGAAAGTAAATTAACATATCAATATCAAGATGCCCATCAATACTAGATCGTTGCTATTGTCTTCTTTAACACATGCTACTTTATACCTGATGTGTGCTGTCCCCTCCTTTTAACAGCACATTATTCAGTACATTATATATTTTTCCATTTGCTGCACTCGTGCAATGAACACATGCAATGAAGTTCTTGTGTGCACAACTGTAATTGTATTTCAAAGTAAAGGTCCCGATAGACACTTTGATGCCAAAATGTAGAAGATTAATAAAGAATCACGTTAGAAGTATCATGATTTAATCCTTTGGATGAGCTCATTTTTCATTGTGTGTTTCACAAGCATTATCGCATTTATCACAGGTAAATAGAAAACTTCTTCAAAAGTGCACATGCTCATTAATAACATGACGCATGATTCATCTTAGTGCAGCATAATTAATTTCAGTGACATTGCGTAATTGTTCATTTTTGTCACAATGCATATTACTGGTTTTCATTTCTCCCGATAATCTGCATGCCTATCACGCTGACATCGCCAAAAGATGTATGTAAGTATTGCTCTAATTTAATGCTTGAGAGGTTTGATGCTTTCTCAAAAGTTTGAGTTACAAGTAGCAATAAGCATTACCAGACTGAAAAAATATGTCTATGCTCACAATAAAGGAGAAACAAATAATAGATTGATTTCACAATTTCTTAGGTGAAAGTGTTCTTGAATGTTAAGATTTGCATAAGCAATTCAACATGGCTAAGAGTTTAATTGTGTCAATAGAATTGCATTTCCACTTGTTCTAGTGCTTGTGTCATTCAAATTGTATCAATCAAGTGCATAATTAAGGGCTTTTCTATACAAGAACTGTAAAAAATTATGATCAGTGATGTTACTTATTCTGTTATTAATCTTTATAATGTGTGACAATATGTAGAAAACTGCTTACTTCTGCTAATTTTCATAATTATCAATGTAATAATTATTACAAAAAGGGATCAATCCTTTTCCAAAAAAATGCAGTTGAGCAGATTATTCATATAGGGCCTGTATCTTCCTTACATCACACAATGTTAAACTTGTCAAGACCTTTTTTTTAACATTCACCATACATTCAGTATAAATAGCCGAATAGACAAGCAGTGGGTGGGGACGTAGGTGGTGGGTAATGTAACATAGACCTTAATGGAAAAAGAACCTAAATTATGTGTTTACACCCCTCTCCACACACACACACACTCCAACCATTTTTGATAATGGGCATTACTTGTTATAGGAGGCCCTGAAGACATTTGTAAAGGAGGAAACTCCTAAACTGTTTAGCACAGGAGATGGTATGGAAGAGGACCCCCAAAACACTCAGCCATTTTCATGAACACAACCCCTGCACAAGAGGGTGCAATCAGCCCAGCTAGGGAATTTGAGAGTTATTAGATAATGGATGAAAGGATCAATTATCTCATCCATCCATTTCTTGGAAGAACACAGGGGTTTGGTTTCAACAGCTTGGCCTTGGGCGGCTTTTTCCACACTTTCAGAAAAATATAGAAGGACAAAAAGGTAATTCATGAGGAATGACTATGGCCAAAATCAAAGCGTAATGAGGCCAAGACCCCCAGCAAGGTAATCAAGGGGCAGTTGCAGAGGTGGAGGTGGGATGCAAAAGTCGCACGTGAGGAAGAGAGATATCACATTTGGTATTTATAGCATTCGGTGGAGGAAGGACGAAGGGAGTGATTGCTAATTACTGACGGTTGGGAATGATTGAGCGTGGATGTTGTCATCCCTCCCGAACTTTCATTAAATAAACTCCATTAAACGAGCACCTGGATGCCTCAAACAGTTAACTTAGACCCTTCTGCGCTGCATCCTTTAAGCACATTGCACACTTCATTAGTTTTTTTTATTGTTCAGATTTAAATTTACGTACCTCAGAAGAAGGGGAAACGTCTTTGTTATGCTTTTTGTATTGTTTAAGCTATGTGAATGAGGATGTCCAGCGTGGGCGTCTGAGGTCTGTATTTCTGTTCTGCGTCAGGTGTTTTGCGAAGTGGAACTGAAGCGCAAAGCCCTTTCCCAGGCCAATACCGACCTGGCTGAGGCTGCCGAGAAACTGGAGGTCATTCGGAAGAAGCTCGCCGTGAGTTTTCAAAACGTTTCTGGGAAAGCGCTACAGATACGCCTGTGAATTGTGTAACACAGACGGTAGTTAAAATTGTACTTGCGCGTCCTTCTGCCGCGAGGAGAAACATTGTTCAGACACTGTTTTACTGTCAGAACAAAAAATTAAAAAGTCTCCCCCAAATTAATATGGACCAAGTAGAATGTTTTAATTGCAAACGGATAATTTTCCCAGTTTTGATCCAACTTCCTTTGCGTGTGTTTCTTTAAGTGTTGTCCCTTTTTGTTTCAAAAATACAGCTCTCCTCCTGTATTTTGTTAGTTAATGTAGCGGTTTATAGAGTTTATCTCAAGCTTGCCCTAAGGCTTTGTTCTGTCCCACAAACAGATTTTGAAAATTGTAAACTTTGGGAAATCAATGTTTTGTAATTAATAAAAGCTACTGGAGATCATTTTTTTTCTTTCTTTAAAGGTATCTTCAATTAAAAAAAATGTTCCTGAGAACTTGGCCCCAGTCAGTAGTTTGTAGTACTTTGATTTTTTTTTTCAATATGCAAAAGAATGTTTTTTGAACATCGAAGTGTACTTTAATATGGGAAATAAAGTAAGTTTTAAAATGAGGCTGGTGATTAAGAACAAATGTACTGGGCATTTATGTAGCAGGACTGCAAGATAATTAACTGACATGCATAAAGATTCATGCTTTATACCAAAAATTTAATTTCGCACATAAATGTGCCTGATGTAGGCAGCATTTAATCACCTAGCTGACAGGAGTAACTACTTTCATTTAACCTTGACTGAAGATCATGAATTCTAACAGGTTTAATTGGATACATCATTTAACAGAATGAACAGAGCAAATTTTCCTCAATTCAGAGGCTCTGATTGACATACAGTGGCAACAAGGCCTTGTACAATTAAAGCTGATCTGTATTCCTGGCCTTGCCAGACATCGCCATAGTGATGTGACACTGTTTGATCATTGTGGCACAGAAACTTTACTCAACTTCACCTTGTTTTGAAAAGGCCACTGCTGCAAATGAAAGTGAGAGATTTCAGAGACTGAAGCTTCGCCTTTTGGGATTTTAAATAAACGTGCCCCAGAGTTCCCCAGAGAGTTCACCACCATGGTCTCTCTGCAATCAGGACTCTGACAGTCACATGAAAGGGGAAATGAAAACAATTAAAGTCACATATGATTATATTTATTATTATCATTGTAGACGTAATTGAAATGTTTCAAATCACACAAAATTGACAATGGATTCCTATTGTTGCTTAGCAAATAATTACCTTGATTCAGACTCTTATGCAGACAAGTTCTTTTCTGATGTTAAAAACAGAGTCAAGTGGTGCACAGAAGAAACCGTTAATGCTGCCTAATTGTTTCCTTGCTATAGTCTGACTCAAGTGAGAAAGAATTTAATCGGCATGCTACAGTCTTCTATTCTTCAGACTAACCAGATGAGAGAGGGTATCTGAAACCAAGCTGGAAGTTTTTGTATTATTTTTCTGTGAAAAGCCCCATACAACTTTTAAGTCTTTTGCATTTGGTAGTTGATTATGCAATGCGAGTGAGTGGTTTGTCTCTAAGTTGTAACAGCCCTGCATCTGTGTTTTAACCACTCCTTCCAATTCGGTGGGAGTCAGATCTCATCAGTGCAAGCAAAGGGCACAAGGTGTGGTGCACCTTAGACTGGACACCAGTCCATCACAGGGTGGTCACACACACACATATCCACCCCAGGGTCAATTAACCTACTAGTATGTTCTTGGACTGCAGGAGAAAACTAGCCAGGGGAAATACACATTAAGATACTATTTTCACACAGATAGCATCCCGAGCCTGGAACCAAACCCTGGGCTTCAAAGCTCCAAGGCAGCAATGCTTACCTCTGTGCTACTGTGCTGCCCTAACCTGTACTACATTTAATCCACTTTATTAATAAATAAGACAGCGGTAATTAGTTTCCAGGGGGTTAAAGTAACATGTCGTTTCTATAGTTCACGTGGGATAACCAAAGCAATGCTTGTCTTACCTTCCCATGATTCATAATGATGACACTATAACAAATGCTCGTTTATGTCTTTAAAGGAACTAGACATGAACCTGGCCACCTTAACAGCGGCCTTTGAAAAGGCGACAGCTGAGAAACTGCGCTGTCAAGATGAAGTGAATAGAACTAACAAGACCATCGAGCTGGCCAACAGATTAGTGAAAGGTCTGGAGGTGAGGCCCTCGAGGACAGTCTAATGAAGCAGTCTGCTGCATGCCCTCCTTTGTTAGACTCTGCTGATCTGACAATATCTCAAGCACTTATCAAAGAAGCTGATGAGCTGCGAAAACAGATTACTATTCATTTATACCATGATCGCGGAAACGTTTCTTGACCTTTTCCGTTCTCATCGGTTAAAACAGAATGTGAAAATCAAAACTGCTGCATATTAATACCGAAGTACTACCCACCAAGTGCACTGGGAAGATGCCTACGAGATGATTAAATGAAAAGCTGTCCTGATTAGGAATTGGGAGCAGTAGTTGAATAAATCCAGTGTTTAACAGTTAGCATTAGATTCACACAAAATGCTGGTGTCTTTGATCACCGTTTACTATTGGTTAGGGTGTCTGTTATGGTCTTTCAGCAGAAAATGGTATCCATAAAGCAGTAGAATATAGACTACAAGTTCTTGCTGTTATGTTTCAATTTGGGTTCCACACCTGTCTCTTTAGCTCGCTGTTTTAATTTGTCCTTGTATTTTGAATGGTTCCCTTAGCTGTGATGATGGGTCTGATCTAATGGCTTTTCTTTGTCTGTGTGCTGGCGTCTCCAGTCAGAGAATGTGCGCTGGGCTCATTCAGTGGCTCAGTACCATGAGCAGGAAAAGACGTTGTGCGGGGATTTGCTCTTGACCGCTGCCTTCATCTCCTACGCTGGCTCCTTCTCCAAACGATACCGCCACGAGCTGGTGGAGAACTTGTGGATGCCGTATTTGAGGTGCCAGAAGGTACTCGGATATCTGATTCAAAATTACTTGAACACAACCGATCACCTTTATACCCGTTTCTAATCTGTAGTACTCCTATTGGGTCTTACTTTGAAGTGTTTTATAATTTTTTAGAAATGCAAAACACAGGAAGCATGGTGGCAAAGTGGTTAGCATTGGGGCCTCCAGGTTCAATTCCTGGGGTGCTATATGTGTGGAGTTTGTATGTTCTCCCTGTCCTTGTGGGTTGGTGCTGCAGTGTCCTCCTGCACTCCAAAAACATACTGGTAAGTAGGCCCTAGTGTGAATGTGTGCATGGCTGTGATGTGATAGTCCATCTGCCCTGTGATGGACTGGCACACACAACAGGGTGTGTCTTGCCTTGCACCCTTCCCTTGCCAGGGTAGGCTCCAGCTCTCCCTCAACTCTGAATTGGAAGATGGTTATAAAATGGGAGAATGGATGAAGAAAAACAGTTCTTTACCCATAGAAAAGAGTCAACAATTTCAGGATGTTTCAGAGTGATTGACTAGGATTACTGCACTCTTTTCCATCTAAAGGCATATTAAACATAAATGTTAATGCATGGAAAACTGTCAACAGTTTTGTTAAAAAAAACATTTTGCCTTGAAGTAGTAAATAGGAAATGACTACAGCAGTGTTGTAATTATAATAACAGCATTCAAATACGTTTAATATGCCTTGTCTCTGAGAGTTGGCGCTGGTATTTCAGAGAGCTGGAAACAGAGAACAAACAAGCAAGACACTCATGTAAAAGGAAATTTAGATTAAGGAGTGGAAATTAAAAGTATTAAAGGCTACATTTTGTTGGCCTACAATCATGCAGCCTATTATAAGATGGGTACAGCTTTTAAGTGGATAGCATAATCTTTTAAATTACAGAGTGTACTCCAATTCTAATTGTCTAAGAGCTGCTTTCAAACAGTTTCTTTTATTCTTTTCTAAAGTAATTGCTTAAATGTTTTGGGGATATTCTATTGAGTCCTGTGATGTTTTCTCAACAATGCGTCGGTTCTTGAAGATGGATGTCTATATTTAAGGATCCTATGATATTTGTTCTCCGCTTCAGCCAGCCGCATCAAGATTAACGGTAAAACGGTCATTTTTGGTGCCATCTGTATTTGTAATAAACTGTGAAGCTGAGCTTTTTTTTTTTGCCTTTTCAAAAGCTAACATGCCTCTCTTTGTCCTCCCCCAGGTGCCTGTTCCGATGACCGAAGGGCTCGATCCAGTTAGCATGCTCACAGACGACGCCACCGTTGCGCGGTGGAACAACGAGGGGCTGCCGAGTGACAAAATGTCCACCCAGAATGCCACCATTCTCGCAAACTGCGAGCGCTGGCCTCTCCTGATTGACCCTCAGCTGCAAGGCGTCAAGTGGATAAAAAACCACTGTGGCCGTGATCTCAAAGTCATCAGCCTGGGTCAGAAAGGGTAAAGAAGAGTCAGCCGTTGACGTGACAGTCCCACGAGTGTGAAAATGTCTTGTCGGCGCAGCCCTTAAAGCTGCGCAAGGAGGGCGAGACCCGGCGGTCATACTTTAGCTGTGTAATGACCTCGGTCTCGAAACAGGACAAGCTGGCCGGCTGTACCCAGTGAGGTCCAATGGAGGCACAAAACTCCTGCAGAGCAGAAGTGACACAGTTCATTCTTCAGCGCCTTAGAAAAAGACCTCTCCCCCCCACCTCCACCCCATTCCTCTCATTCTGTTTTTGTGCCTGTGGCTTAATAAACGTTACTCTGCTTAATTGTGTAAGAGTCGAAATAATCAGTAATGGACACCCCACAGTTCCAAGGCAGTTCACTTTCACAATGACTATGTTTGATAATTGTTCTTTTTTTTTCTGCAGAGATGTACTGTAGTTCCCACGCACAAAAAATGTCAGATACTTATTTTCTGCATCGTTTCTGTAGGTATGTCGACATCATTGAGCAAGCTGTTGTCGATGGGGATCCTGTTTTAATAGAAAATTTAGAAGAAACTATTGATCCAGTCATAGATCCACTTTTAGGGAGGCATACCATTAAAAAAGGAAGGTAAAAACCAAAAGCACTGTATAATGTAAGACTGAATTATTCATATATTATGTGGATGATGTCAGGATTTTTTACTTATTAGACACTCTGATCATGTCTTGAAGGTATATAAAGGTTGGAGATAAGGAATGCAGATTCCATCCTGGGTTTCGTCTGATACTGCACACTAAACTGGCTAACCCTCACTACAAGCCTGAAATACAGGCTCAGACCACCCTAATAAACTTCACGGTAACCAGGGATGGACTGGAGGACCAGCTGTTAGCTGAGGTGGTCAACTTGGAGAGGCCTGATCTGGAACACTTAAAGGTTGGGTGCCTTTTCCTGCTGAGAAAAAAGGACAAGTCCCAAGGAAAAGCCCAGCTGACTTAGCCTTTTCAGGGTTAATAAATACAGGGAACACTTGTGTGAAGGGGAGCATGGTCAAATGGGCTCCTGACTGATTGATATTGTTGGGTTAGAGACTATAATACCAAACAAATGGGCCATGGAGGTGATCAAGGCTGATGCATGCAAAAAAGTTGGGAGAAGGGGGGGAGTAGATTGCTGAAGTATTCTCATAGCTATGAGGCATGGAGTTGTGTCTCTGATCATGTAGCTCAACATTATTTCTCATGTACAAAAATAATATTGTCGAATGGGGAGCTGTGTCACTTTAAGTGTGCCGCAAAGGCATGAGTAAAGACTTATTCCATAAAAACATTGAAGAAACAAGGTTTTTGCTGTTGAGTGTTTTTCTCCTTCAAGGTGTTTCTTCTTTGTATTTTTCAGCATGGAATTAACCTTCATTTGTTCCTTTGCGAAAAAATATGCAGACAATTCTGTGTCTGGTGACAACCTTTCTCCCCCTCAGCTACTTTTCATTGGCTTGTCTGCTTTAGTAACTCTCTTGAAATGCTTAAAAAGCAAGAACCTGTTTTCTTCACGATTTGCCTTGGAAATGTCTATTGTTGTTGGGTTTTGTTTTTTTTCCCTCACACGCGGCCTGCAGTCTGATTTGACCAAACAGCAGAATTACTTTAAAATTGAACTGAAGCTGCTGGAAGATGAGCTGCTGACCCGGCTGTCTGCCGCAGAGAGTAACTTCCTTGGGGATAACCTGCTAGTGGAGAAGCTGGAAACAACCAAGCACACAGCTGCCGAAATCGAGATGAAGGTAGAGCTGGCTAGGAGACCTTGGACCACTAGTATCACAAAATTTAAGCTGTCTCCTTTGCCAGAATCTCTTACTTCCAAACTGTGGCTCAAGGTGCCTTTAGTCACTGTCAAAAACTGTAGTTACAGCTTACAATGTTAAGCAAAAAATATTTAGTTTTACAAGTGCTGCCAAATTTGTTCCCCTTTTTACTTTTATTTTTAAAAAGTGGACATTCATACTTTAGAGCCCTATGATAGTTAATTTGCTTTTGTGAACCCTTTACACATTTTTACAAACTGGATCTCACTTCTGTCTTGGGCTGGACATTTTTCGGTTTTGTTAAGATGTAAAGTTTACACACCAACCAGAAACCAGATAACATCAGCTTTCTGTTGGCTGAACTGACATGAAAGAGTTCACATTTTGGCAGTAATATTTATGTTTTTATTTGTAACTTCATGAGAACAGCTTGTTCATCATATTTTTCTGTAATCTGGTTGGGGAAATTTAATTACGTTACAACTCACCAGTTGCAACATGACTCTAGGAGCAGAGAAACCTTTGGATAATTATTTTTATCCTTTGCATTGACTGAACTGTTAATGTTATGAGGCTAGCTTTCCATATTCCACAATGCACATTTTCCATAATAATAATCTCTTGTTATCTTTTGTGTGCCCAAGATTGAACCCAAACAAAACAATTACTTTTTTAATGCTGGAAACTGTTTGTGATTTAGCCGTTCTTCAAAATCCTTTTGGAGAGCAAACTTAGAACTACAGTACAGATGAAAAATAAGTTCAGCTTTCCTTGACAGGAAGTCAGAATGACAGCAGAGAGAGAAGACGAGAGTAGAAAGCAGAATGTGATTTACAACAGCCTGATACTGTACAATGTCTTGTTTAAAGATTAGTAAAATGACAAAACTTTCATTGTTTAAGTCTTTCCACTCTGACTTCCCAGACAACACCAGAAAGTAAGCTGTTTGTAACACGAAGCTGTTAAACTTTTACTGTAAAACAGTGAGAAGAGTAATGCTGTCTGCCTCAAGACTGTTTGGAATGCTGAAATACATTTTTCTGCCTATATATAGATTATGGTTAGTTTAATGTCAATTTGGCAAAAAAATACCACAAGACACAAAATGATTTATTTTGTGCCAGACCACACTTTATTTGGAACTTAAGCCCTTTGAAAAATATATAGACTGATGTTTTTCCCGTTGCACAGATAATGATTTTTAACTTCAGTTTCTTTTTAAAGAATATCAATTTATTTATTAGGATTGTGGCGTATGAATATTTCATTATATTGTAAGCTCTGGCTGTAGTTAGCATTAAAATCTACAACAGTTTCTAAGTGAAAGACTGTTTTTCAGACTCGGTTTTAAGCACTTGCAAAAATGCATGAAAACTAAGATCAATTTTCAATGGAGTCTAATGGAAAAGTAATATTTTTAGGTATGTGTGTGCTTTCTGTATGATTATTACTTGACAGGTTTTTCTATCAGACACACATGTTCAGTTTTTGGATGATTTCATAGCTTTCACGTCATTTCAACTTGTGTTGCTTTTGGTCATTGCCAGCACCCAGTCTTTCTGTCTAGCAAACTACAACGCATTCTGTGTTGCAGGTTCTGGAAGCGAAAGTTAATGAAGTAAAAATTAATGAAGCTCGTGAACACTATCGTCCTGTGGCAGTAAGAGCCTCTCTGCTCTACTTCATAATGAATGATCTCAATAAAATAAATCCAATGTACCAGTTCTCACTTAAGGTAAAATTTAATTTACACATTACTGCCTGTGGTCTTCAAATACATATTTATTTCCATTGAATATCTATATTGCTAGTCATTTTCTTCTTCCTCTTTAGGCATTTAATGTTGTGTTTCACAAGGCTGTGCATCAAGCAGAACCTTCTGATGATGTCAGGAGGAGGGTAAATACCCTCATTGACTGCATTACCTTCTCCAGCTTCAATTACATTAGTCGAGGCTTGTTTGAAAGAGACAAACTTACTTTTACAGCCCAGCTGGCCTTTCAGGTATGATTTCTATCATCTATGATTTCAGGTTTGCTCGACCTGTTCATTCACATTTATAGGTAACCCCACAGTGTCTCACTTTCATAACACTTGTACTGTAAGTTTGACACAAAGGTTGTGTTTTTTTTTGGAGTTGAATTGCTGAGGATTTTTTTTTTCCCCCGGCTTGCAGCTTTTATTAATGAGTAAAGAAATGAGTGTCCGAGAACTGGATTTCCTGCTCAGGTTCAACATCGACCATAACTATATCAGTCCTGTAGACTTTCTGTCAAACTCGGCGTGGAGTGCCATCAAGGTATGTTTTAATGACTTTATAATCCGTATAATCAATAAGTTATTATAAAAAGCAATTTATTTTTTAAAATAAAATGTGTGTTTATAAAGGTTGTAGAAGCAAAAAGGAACACATGGGCCCTGAGAGGTTCTAGAACGTTCTGAAAGATAACGCTCTCGTTTTTTATTCAACCATTTGCAATCTTGCAAAAGGTTTTCAATTTTAAAATGGTCCAAAGTGCTCTCAATAACACGGATTCAACAATCCTTTTTTTCCATTGGAAGCGCACATTTTGATTTTGACTCTTACTCTATGTTGGTGTGCGTTGGTAGCAGAAGGTTAATGACTCTAAACTCTGTCGCCTTTCCCCTCTCCATCACAACACGGCAGACAATGAGTTTCACAGACGAATTTCGAGGACTGGATAGGGATATTGAAGGATCCCCGAAACGCTGGAAAAAAGTGGTTGAATCGGAGTGTCCAGAAAAAGAAAGGTTTCCGCAGGAATGGAAAGCTAAAAGCTCCCTCCAGAAGTTAATAATGATGCGTGCCCTGCGCCCAGATAGGATGACGTACGCAGTGAGGTAGACTGACACAGTGTGGCCTGTTTGAAGTGTCATCCAGTGCTTGATGTTGGGAATAGATGCCACACAGCTAATGATAGATGAGCGCATGCTTGGCGTTTTCTTTGGGAATTTGGAGGTGACTGTCATTTTCTCTGTGGCACGCTCCAAGATGTAATGTACAGTAAGTTTCCTGACCTAAATGTTAACAACTCTTTTCTCGGCAGAAATTTTGTGGAAGAGAAGCTTGGAACAAAATATACTGAAGTGCGTAAAACTGAGTTTGCAAAGTCGTTCAAAGAAAGCGGCCCAGCTTCTCCGGTCTTTTTCATCCTTTCCCCTGGAGTCGATCCTCTGAAAGATGTTGAATCCCTGGGTAATAATGAAAATCTTTCTTTAATTCAAAGCAAATACTCTGTAACTTCTTGCCTTTATGAACTGCCAAGGAGCCTTATAACAATACAGGGTAGATTATTATTATTATTATTTTGGAAAGAGCTATGGAAATGTACACGCCTTCAGCAGAAAATAAAATATTGCCTGGAAAGTAGCCTTTATGCTTCCAATATTATAATAATGACTAACTCTATTCAAGCGTCTTTTGTACAACATGAAAATAGTGCATATTAACAAAAATGTATTATTTATTATAATGTATATAGTCTATATATATATATCTCATTACACCAACTGGAATTCCACTATGAACCAATTGTTTTAAGATTTGAAAACAGGCAGGAGAAAGATTTGAAATAACAGTAGAAAGTCCAATCTGTCACCCACAGCAGTCTTTCTTGCTGAAGAGACCAACAACAGACTGGCGTCAGAATACTACAAAGGCTAGGGCAAGGGGTGTAATTTCTCAGAAGTTCAGAAATATAAAAGAGATTTCTGAGATTTCTTCATAGCCTTAGAGGTCAAGAGCAACACTTTGAAGTCCAGATGAAATTCAGCAGGAAGCCAGTGCAGGGTTTCGGGCCAGGGGGTTATATATTCACGAGAGGGAGATCTAGTTAAACATTCTGGAGATTTTAGGAGGTGTTATTTGAGAACTCTGCCAGCTGAGCATAGCAATCGTCAACACTGGACAAGACTAGGCTTTTTATTAGTCTGATTAGTGGTTTTAATTCATAAGCCTGCCTGTTTGACATTCTGTTGACCCGAACCGCATGAACTAACAAAAGCCTTGCACACTACTGATCCTTCTGTAAGGGAAAAGAGGTACTATATGTAAGGCATACATCTACAGTATAAGAAAGCATCGGCAGCTAGCCACATGAAAAATAACACAAAGGAGGCTAACAGTCAACCAAAACACCTGCCCATTTTCAAGGTATCTGAAAATATATCTCCTTTGAAATACAGGAAAAAAGATGGCGTTCACCATAGACCTGGGGAAGCTGCACAATGTGTCCCTGGGGCAAGGCCAGGAGGCTGTGGCTGAAGTGGCTCTGAAGAAGGCTTCAAAAGAGGGCCACTGGGTTATCCTGCAGGTCAGGGGGCACCGCTGCCCTGGGGGGGTCAAATGGGGCCACATGGGCTTTGTCGGCCTTTGGTTTAATCTTTCTTTTACTTAATTGTTCCCTTCAACTGCAAAATTGTCTGCTTTCTCTTGGTTGATTTTTAAAGTCAGAGGGCATTCAAAGGCACCAGGCCTATGAAAAAGGTGAAACAATAGAAAAAAAAAACTGGCAAACAAATCAAGATATCAGAACAGTTAAAGTACGGAGGTGCACCAAAAGACCAGAAGATCAGTATTCCCTTGAGGAACTAGGTTTAACCCCCCCACCCACTACACCATAGATACTGGTTGATCTCTGTTTTTTTTCTGGATAAAACTTTTTCTTCTGTTACATTTAAAAATAGGTGGTGTATAATTTAAAGAGAATGCATGCACAGCTTACAGTGCCAGGAATATTTAAAACTGTTTCAGTGATTTTGAGGAAGATCACTTTTATAGGCTTGCAAAACATAATGCCCAACAGACAGTATCTTAGCTTCTTCATCTCAACTGTGTGATATTATTACCCTGTCTTTAATGTGCTTGTAAAGAGCTTCTTTTAAGTACATGGGATACAAGCCTAGATGTACTGCACTTGATTAAGCACAATATTTTTTGCTTAAAATGCTTATATTGATTATGCCATAACATCACCACTGTAGTGTGAAATGTGTCTCATGCTGAAATGTTGATGTTGCCGCTGACAGATCACAGTGAAGTGATTGTATTTAGCTTTAACTGAAGCAAACTGGCCATTCCTGACAGGGAAGGTTTAAATAAGGCAGTGCTTTTTCAAAGCAGTATATTATTTTTGGAGAAACGAGTCGCATCTGAAAAGAGATATTCGTCTGCCTGTTCGTTTGTTTCCCCTAGTCTTCACGAGAGGTAAGCGCAGACTGTGGTTTTGAATGTTTTTGCCAGAATATTCACCTGGTGGCCAAGTGGTTGGGGAGCTTGGAAAAGCTGCTGGAGAAGTACAGTGAAGGGAGTCACCCCGACTACCGTGTATTCATGAGCGCGGAGCCAGCTCCCACCCGGCAGGAGCACATTATCCCCCAGGGAATCCTGGAGAATTCCATCAAGATCACCAATGAGCCACCCACGGGTATGCTGGCTAATCTGCACTCTGCGCTTGACAACTTCGACCAGGTAACGAGCACCTTCTGGCTGTCCGAACCTCTGAGAAAAAATAACTATGCCCATCAATATATCAAAAAACACATGTGTACTTAATAAAAAAAGTTGGCATTTCATGAGAGAGCAGTGTGTCAGGAGAAGAAGATGATTGTGCTCTTTGAAAGAAAAATCAAAGGACAGCTGGTTGGCACACTAGTTAGCATTGCTGCCTCACTGCGCTGAGACCCTGGATTCAATTTCTGGTCTGCCATCTGTGTGGAGTTTGCATGTTCGTTCAGTGTTCGCTTTAGTTTCCTCCAGGTGCTCTGGTTTCCTCACATGGTCCAGACATGCGGGTAGGTTACTTTCTCAGTTAATCTGAGAAAATGTGGCCCTGGTGTGAGTGTGTGCATGTCTGTGTGTGTTTGTGTCCTGTGATGGACTGGTGTCCTGTCTAGGGTGTATCCGGTTACTGTCTGAGATACGCTCCGGCTCCCCCACGACCCTGAGTTGGATAAAGAGGTCAGAAAAGGGATGGATGGATGGATTACAGTCAGAGTTCAAGTTATTGAAGAGAAACAAAAACAGCCACATCAATACCTAGTCATGATAGAATGAAAATGGCCCTTTTTTAGCCTCGGCTTATTGACATTGAGAATTAAAGTGAATATGGATTGAGGTCACTGCTAGAAAAGTGTTACAATGTCTAATTTCACTCTGTTTTTTGGCAGGATATTCTAGACCAATGCTCCCGGGAGCAGGAATTTAAGACCATTCTTTTCTCCCTCTGCTACTTTCACGCCTGCGTTGCCGAACGGCGCAAATTTGGACCTCAAGGTTGGAATCGCAAGTACCCCTTTAACACCGGGGACCTGACCATCTCTGTCAATGTTCTGTACAACTACTTAGAAGCCAACTCACAGGTAACTAATCGGAGCTGTCTTTTACTTTGTCACTGCTAAACATAGCTATTCAGTGTCTGCATGACATGTAAATGAAAATTTGCCCTACAGAAATGTTCACCTGTGGTGCAGTTGAAGCATTACTGATTACAGTAGACATAGGTTTGAGTTGATATTTTTTGGCTTGGAAGTTTCCTTTTTAAGCTTTTTAGTACCTTGGTTTTGAGTACTGCTTTGTCATCAAGTCCTATTGGTTTTAGGTTAGTGTTGTTCTAAAAATGTCTAGTATTTTAACTGAAAAAAGTCTGATACAACTTAGTTTTGACCTTCTAAGGATTACGGCTTACTGTATGTGCCACATAACTTAAATTCAGAATTGAAAATAAAGTATTAATAAAACCTTTACATTTAGTAGTATAATATATGGAACATTATACACGGGATGATTTCTTTACTAAGGTCAGGATTTACATATTATTTTGGATTTTCCTCCTTTGTAAATCATAATATTTACAAGGGGATTCTAATGTTTGCTACACAAGCCCTGACACAGACTGAAAGAACTGTCTTATTGAAAGTCTGCTCCAGTGTGTTAGGAGTAACCTCATATGTCCCAGGGCTTAAGGGAAAGTCTTACACTGACAGGCTTCAGGACCTGAAGCTGTGCGGAGAAGACTGCGATGAGACCTGACACAAGTATTCATAAATATCAAGGTGAAATGACAAAGTCAACCCAGAAGAATTTTTCAGAATGCACAATGAAATGCGAAGCAGTGGCTATATGTGGAAACTACAAGAAAGGGGCATATAAAACTGAGAACAAGAGGCATTTTGTTACTCAAAAGGCTGTGGGAGTGTGGAACAACCTACCAAGCAATGTTGTTGAAGCCCATACCCTGGCTTATTTCAAGAACCGACTAAATGAGATCCATAGATCAATTAGCTACTAACTACCAAAGGGGTAGAAGTGCTAGTGACAGAAAAGGGGTGATATGTTTATTGGCTTGAAATGACTGACAAAAAATAATAAAAAAATAATAATTCTTGCATTTTGAAAGGTGCCGTGGGAGGACCTTCGCTATTTGTTTGGAGAGATCATGTACGGGGGCCATATTACCGATGACTGGGACAGACGCCTGTGTCGCACCTACCTGGAAGAGTACATGCAACCTAACCAGGTAGGAGAGCTTTCACTCCAACCTTAGCCTCACAGCTACCCCGTTATAAGGAGGAGCGTTCTGTTTGAAATGGTGGTCTTCATCTCAATGTTGCGTTAAAGACGCCTTTTGCTAATGATTAAATATCTTTAAAGCCACCCAGTATAAGCTGCTGCGCCTTGATGTCGCGAAGCGTTCAGTGTTGCCTGTATTTGAGCTCCCCCTTATGGAATCCGAAGGAACATCAGCACTATGCAATGAAAAATAGAGCTGCTCGCTTCTTTTCCTTCTTTTTATGCTGTGCGTCTTCTTTTTTTATTAGTTTCTGCACGCATGCTTGTAAAGCTCAATTCTTACGTTTGAAACTAATTACAAAACTAACGTTTGTTTTGCAACAAAGAACGTGTATGTATGTGCATGTTAGCTACGTATTTTAAATGGTAGCTAAATAAGGTTTACCGTTTGATCTTTTTTCCCCCATCTCCACATTCTAAATATGACAATCTCTGTAATTTGATCTCAAATTAAAAATACATTTAACTTCTAAGGACTGGCAATACACATAATTGACTTACTCTCGACGCAGAAACATTTTTTAAAAACTGGCAACGTCAAAACAGCAACAACAACAACAACAACAACAACAACAAAACCTGTGGATATGTGCGTACAGGTTTAATTTATTGTGACTGAGTTCCAATTACGTCTGTGTGCGTTTCAGTTCGATAGAAAGTTGGCTTTAGCTCCGGGGTTTGCCGTTCCTTCAAACTTGGATTACCAGGGCTACCATCGGTACATCGACGAGATGCTGCCTCATGAAAGCCCGGTGCATTATGGATTACATCCTAACGCAGAGATAGAATTCCTCACCGTCACCTCCGACAATCTCTTCCACACACTGCTGGAGCTGCAGCCCAGAGACTCTGTTATCGGGGAGGGATCCTCCCAGACAGTGGAGGAGAAGGTCAGTACTGGCAGAAAGGAAGCGACATGTGCAACACAAGCACCAGTGGTCACACAAGCAACGTCTCATTCTTAGAAAATGTCACTGCTAATGCCTTGCAAAGTCATTGATGAAGTCTTATTTGTTTTTGGAAACGGTGTTTGTATTTTCCAACTTAATAATACAACCTTACAATAAATAAGTTCGATGTGTCGTTCTTGCTGTGTTGTATGAAGTTGTATGAAGACCCCCCCCCCCCCATGTTATAAGAGATCACGCAGAATTGATTGTAAAATATGTTTCACATCACGGCCTTTTGTATCTGAAATGACAGTAGAATATGAAGTGTAATCAAGAGGAGTGTTCAGAGTTAATGAATTTCAAAACGACCGAAACAATGTGGTGTTAATATAACCACGCCAAAAGATATATTTATGATGTCTTTCTTAATATTTATCTGACACTCGAGTTTGTGTACTTGAATCCTTTTGTATCACGTTAGGAACCCGTTACCTGTTAACAACATTTACTCAACAAAGCTTTACTTATTCTGGATAGAGAAATCCCACAATATTGGATAGAAGTTATAGTAATTCTTTTCTTTTATGTATAATATAGTTAATATCGAGGAATTGATTCTAAACGGTAATGAAAAATAATTTAAAAATAAGACCCTTTTTAAAATATGTTTAATATATTTTTAGGTGAAAACTATCCTTGATGATATTTTGGAAAAACTGCCAGAGGAGTACAATATGTCAGACATCACCTCCAAAACAGCAGACCGCTCTCCTTATATATTAGTATGCTTTCAGGAGTGTGAACGAATGAATATCCTTATATATGAAATACGACGCTCGCTGAAGGAGCTGGATTTAGGACTCAAGGTCTGTATAAATGTCGTTCGCCATCTTCCACAGTTTTCAGATGCACCGCACAGACATTTTTTCGCATCTTTTTCTGTATACAAAAGTGTTTCCATGTGTCACATCTATTTAGAGAAACTGCAAATGCATAAAACAAGCCTGGGAATATTTTGTATGCATTATTGGCCATAAAAAAACCGACACGTCTCCCATCTTGTCTAAAACTTCAAACTGTTTTGACTAGGTAACTGGGCAATTACGAGCAATAGTCAATGAATTTCACCCAGTATACATGTCAATGCAGAGCTCTCGCATTTTAAATTATTCATAACATTAAGCGCATTCTCTTAAATTAACCTACACATGAAACAGAACAAATGGAGCTTTAATGTAGCAGCTGATGAAATAACAGAATTGTCAAGTTCAGCTACTTGATGTGTTTTCCCTGCAAGGAATTCACTATTTATCATGTCATCTTATCACAGTCTCTTTTAAAGCCACAACGAGTGCACTTATGCTTTCTTTTGTTAGGGTGAGTTGGCAATTTCCTCAGAGATGGAGCGACTACAGACAGCTCTTTTCTTTGATAATGTTCCTGACACCTGGACCAAGCTAGCATATCCATCAACATACAGTCTAGCACAGTGGTAAGTAACATGTCATAAACCAAACTGCATCTGTATTACTTGGTGTGCATCAAAAGGCAACATCAATTGCAAAAACACTTTAGAATTCCTATTTAAGGTTACAGAGGTCACAATGAAAGAAAAGTCTTTTTTTTTGTACATAGACTGGATGTTGCACTGCCTTGTGAGTGTATTCAGAATTATCCCACACTCGGTTTTTTGTTTTAAATGCACCATAGTCATACCTTAACTGTTAACAATGTAACTTATGTGCATGTTTGGAGGTGGGAGTGAGAAGGAAAAATATATAAAAAATTCAACAAAATTAAATATGTTCTACATAAACTGTTGCGTCATTCTGGTGAAAAATGTATCTGAATACTTTCTCCATGCTCTCGGTATACATTTCTTATCCCATTACTCGAGACCCCGTTGTTTAGTTGACTAAAACAACTTCATACTTATTACTTTGACGCTATAAACCCCAACACACATTTTTTGAGTCAATAAAGAGGTGAATAATAGGATGCCATGCCACGATTATCATCCTAATTGTTACTGTGGATTGAATTAATAAACACAGAAGCGAGATATGTGCAGAACGGTCTTAGGCAAGGCGCGACAGATAAGCGTATCGGCGAGGATCGTTCCAAACCGCAGTTACCCCGAGTCTACATGCAAACACGGTAATTGTGTTTGCAGTACTGACAGAAAGCAGTGATTGCGATGATAAAAGCAGCACGGTGATGTGCTCTCCACAGGTACAATGATGTTCTAATGCGCTGTCGAGAGTTGGACAGCTGGACGCAAGACCTGGCTTTACCCAGCGTCGTCTGGCTCTCCGGCCTCTTCAATCCTCAGTCCTTCCTCACAGGTAAGCAGCCGGCTGGCACAACTCATTAGTAATTTACTGCTACAGTAGTTTTTATAATTACTGCCAGGAGGCCTCATTAAATTTGCTCTAATGAATAAATATTGTATTTCATAGCTTGATTACCAGATCAGCTCAGTGCTTGAATGTCATAAACAATTATTTCCCTAAATATTCATCACCTCAGAGTGGATGATCATTGGTGTTTAATACTGGTATTTTCAAGTGCATCTTTATTATGCTAATAGTTTTCTGAAGCAGTTATGTTTTGAAGAAGAGCACAAATGCACTTTGACAAACATCTAAAAATAAAAATGGCAAATGTATCAAAACTAAAAATGTATTACATTAGAAATATGAACCGCATAGTCAGACAAACAAGAGGTAGCCTAACTGTGCTTAAAGAATACTTTTATTTTTTAATGTCAGTCCTTAAACAGGATATTTTCTAAAATACCCTCCAACATCAACAGATAGAAAATTAAAGCTTCCTTTCAAGCATTACTAAAATTACTACAGTATGGTTGGCAGTATTTTTACAGTAGTTCAAGATAGTTTTGTGATAGAAGTATTCATTACACATGTATCTGTGTCCCTAGAATGCCTCTAGGATATCATTTTTTGCATTATATGCACATGTATTTTAAAAGTTAACATTATACATTGAAAATTTCAAACCTAAAACAGAATTGACAATCAAGACCTTTCTTCTCAACCATAGCAAACAACACGGACAGTTTTCAGATTTTTCTTTTCTTGCCCAGAATCAAAGTGATGGAAAGACGAACCCTTGACTTCTTTTAACACTGAAATGCACCACACAGACGCATGTACAAAAAGAGGTTAACAAGTTCCTGTAGCTAATAAGGCATTCGAAAAGTTTTATTACAATGAAATTACTTGACATGAAAATAGACAGTTGTTCAATATAATGGTTGCTCATGTATTTTATAGCAGGGAGGTTATTAAAAGAAAAACAAATTAACACCGCAATTGAATAGAAAAGTGTCCTGACTGGATTTTCCTTTTGAGGATTCATCCATGATCAAGCAGGGACATTACAATGGATATCTTTTTACTTCCAGCTGTAATGCAAAGTTTAGCACGAAAAAACGAATGGCCATTAGATAAGATGCACCTCACTGTGGACGTAACGAAGAAGTTCAAGGAAGAATTCAATCAACCCGCCCGAGAAGGTGCCTACATCTACGGCTTGTACATGGAAGGTAAAAAAGCACGTTGCAATTTGGATGTTGAAGGCTATTTCCCTACTTCTATGAAGGTATGAGATGTCCACATAACACGGTGGTGTTAACGGAACGATCTCCTCATCAAACTTGAATTAAAAACGTCTCAAATTCTCACGCAATTCATTGAAATTTTGAGTTGAAGAAAAACACCCCCTCCAGCACTTCACATTTTGTGGTTTTTAGCATCAAACCGAACGTTCTGCCCGGAAGCACTGAGAAACGCTCGGCAGAAAGGGTTTGGAAATAGCTGCAAAATGGACACACAAAGGAACGGTTTGTATAAAGAGCTTTAAAGCAGTAGCTGGGACAGGAGAAAAAATGCTTTAAAACTTGGAATGATTTACAGGTATAAAATTCCCATTAGAGCCTGCTAATTGTTTCCACACCATTAGTAGCAGTTATCTAATGAAAGGATTTCAGCAGGCAGTGCCGTATATCATATGGATTCTCTCACGGCTATAGTGAAGGTAATGGCCCTGATACCTCCTGCCCTTTCCACCCTTTCCTCTCAGGTGCCCGGTGGGACACGCAGGGAGGGTACCTGGCCGAGGCCCGGCTCAAAGAGCTCACGCCCGGCGTGCCCGTGATCTTCGTGAGGGCCATCCCGAACGACAGGCAGGAGACGAGGAACATCTACGAGTGCCCCGTTTACAAGACCAAACTGCGGGGCAACACCTACGTGTGGACCTTCCACTTGAAAACCAGAGAGCGGCCCGCCAAGTGGGTCCTTGCGGGCGTGGCTCTGCTCCTGGGTGTGTAGAGACCTCCTAGGACAGCCCTGCCCTCAAAAGTGCTTCACTGAACAGGCACCTGCTGCGGTTTTTTGAGTGGCGTGGCTCTGCGTGGATATGATGATTTGTGGTGGAAGTCATTCAGCAAAATTCTGCTATACATTAAGCAAGGCGTTGCTTTATTTTTGAAAACAGAGCACAACAATTTTAACAGAGTATGAAACAGGCTTGAAAATAATTAAATTCTGATTTATAAGAAGCTAGGTGTTGAGTCGCGTGAATGATTAAAAATATTGAAGTTCAACACTTTTTTGCCTTCTATTACTTGTATTTTAACTTTTCAAAACTAGCAGAAACCATGAGCAACAGGAAACTGTATTTCACAGGTGACAGAAATGAAAAGGTGAGGAGGATAGTCACTGGAATCATCTCTGTGCCAGCCAACTTCAATTTGGCTTTATTTAATAAAAAACAACATTTAGCGCAATTTTAACAGGTAAAGAGTATGAAACAGGCTTGAAAATGATAAGTGAGCCCTTTTGAAATATCTGGTTTACCCAAGAATCTGATAAATCAAGAACAGAGACACTTTAAAGCGCATCCTAACAAAAGTTTGGTCGTCATTTCTTGTAATCTGTTGTAAGTCACATAAGAGATTTATACAATCTAAAAAAATGCCATGCCGAAATCTCACAGCTGATCAGTAAAAAGAACTTTATACATTTAGAACAATGTAATCTAACAATGGACACTGCATAGCAATTTTATTACAATCAATATTCAGAATCAGATAGGATGGTTTGTTCATCAGAGCACATAGGGAGATACAGGTCTTCCATGAAATAACATTAAGTCACTTAAGACTTGGGTTTAATTGGGGTTAATTTTGGTTCTTTTCATTAGCAAATATTGGCAACCAGGGGGATCTGTTGGCTACTGCTTTTCCATGGTCTGTACCATCACCTGACCAATACCACTGAGTGGTAATATGGCACCAGCCTTACAAACATTCATGTTTCTTACAGCTATACACTTTTACTGTTCAACATTTTAGGCACCAAAATAGTGCATCACATTTTACAGAGACTAGGAAGGATGCCAATCACACAATCCAAATTGCACCTGTACTCCAAAGCAATGGCAGTTTTACGCTGTAAATGGGTCTTAGCATTTCCAGACCATTTACTTCCAAGGTGAAATCTGCCAAATCCCCAACAGAATTAAAACTCCAGGGAGACACTTTCCAGAGCCAGACTGCAGCTGCCACTGTTCAGTTTTCCTTCGCCTCCAGTTCTTGTTTAAGGCTACAAAAAGAACAATAACTTCACTGTAGCACATTACAACATTTTTTCGACCTCGTGGTTAACACCCTCCCTCCGCTCACATTTAAAACGCTTTGCTTTTAGGGAAAGCTACACGCGGCAGTAGCAAGCAACCTTCATCTGCTTAATTTGACACTGAAGAAAAAGAAAAAGTGTCAAACCGAATGCGACATCGTGCAGAGTAAATCTTAATCTCAACAATAGAAAACTGTTTACTTAGGGGGGACTGACAGTTTAAAAATAATCAAGGATGTAATTACCTTTTCAAGTAGGCATGCACATTGTCATAGCCGTGGTATTTTGCCAAGTAGACGAGCACTCCAGTGGCACATCGCCCTTCTCGCTGTCGGCAGAAACTGCAGTTACAGATTCCTCGGCAAGGAGGGCAAAACCAGGTCTGTAACGGACATTCGCTCAAAATTAGAATCACATTCACTTCCAGCTGCTCTCACTTCAATCTAAGCTCTTTCTTTTTGCCCAAGCTTCTTTCTGACCCTCCCAACATGGTAATAAGGCCAAAGGCAAAGATTTAGAAGGGGGTTATTCAATAAACAGGTTACAACAAGGGACTGGCTTTAAAAACTAAAGATATCCCCATATGTCTTCATTACATTTCTACAATTCTGAGCAAATGCCTTTGGATGACCAAGACACAGACACCTGTACAGGACGTGCAGGCTGTTGTTGTAAATGCCTGAACTAAATTTAGGGCAATGCATCCCTCAGGCAAAACCGCTAGGAAGAACAAAAAACACTGAAAGGCTTATTAAAAGCTATATATATATATCTCTGAAAATAATTTCACATGCTGAATGTCAGATACTGTTAATCCTGCTGGAATTTTGCATGCTTATTTCAACCCAGTTCCAGAAGGATTTGGTGTTGGAAGCTACTGTTGAACTAGTAAGAAACGAGCAGTAACAGTAAGTGAGAGACACCAATGTCATTCAGCTTGTACAGCTGTTAATGCTAAATGCCTCTGATTAAATGGAA